AAGTGACTCTAACTTTTGTATTTCAAATAGCACCCTGTATATTTTTTGCAATTTTTCATTTCTACTCAAAATTACCGTTGCAACGATGTATCACACTTCGTATTTTAAATTTGATTTGATGGAGAAAACGACAATTGAAATTTCAAATTGAACGAATTGCAATAGGTTATGATATTTTTGTAATCTTGATTTTGACTGCAATAATAATTTCAAATTATCAGAATTGTAGTAGATGTTGTAATTGTCAAATTTTCATCTTTCGAAATGGCTGAGATAATCTATTGAAACAGGTATACTGGGACACCCGGTATATGGAATTTGGGTTTAATAACTTGTTTACTACAAAAAGGTACACATTTAAATTTTGTCAAAACCATGAGAATAATAGAATTTTATGAAGAGTACCCTTTTTATAATGAACAAGTTATGGAATCTGAATTTCATATTCAAACCCCTTTCTTTCCATTGGCGTACGAGTTTTAGATGTTTATTTAATGAAAAAATAACGTTTTACGCCTTTGGAATATTTATCAAAATCATTAGGTTTCATTGCCCAATAAAGCTATGCCAACGTGCGGAATTTTAGTAAAATGTCATGAACCGTTTCAAAGTTATGAAGCAAAAATGATTTGAAAATTGTAACTTCAGAGCCCTTTAGCGCCCAAACTAAGCTTGCTTGTATCGATTCTTTTTGATTTGAGGAATATGTGGTGAGTTTTTGTTGGCGCCTTTTATAGGGACACCCTGCATAATCGGGGTGAAATGAAAGTGAATCATAGATGAACATATATTGAATTTCCAATAACTGAATTGAAAAAATCTAGGTGAGAACAATCCGGGGTGTGCTCTAGTTTTTCATAAAATGATTGCCTACTGCATGTTCTCTTAACTTTTCTGTATACACATCAAAAACTAAAATTGAAGTAATTCTATTGTAGTGTAAAATTTTCAAATTATTTTATAATCTTTTGTGAATAAATTCTGAAAAATCCTTAAAAAAAAGTTGTGGTAGCTTTCACCCCGCAGAACCCCACAATCACATTTTATGTTACTTTCAAATTAGTGATGGCGCTATTGAAGATTTAATTCTGAAAAATTTTAATCCACAAATAATACTTATTTTGGCAAGTATGATTTTCCTAATATCACACTGTATAAAAATTGCGATTCCACTAGATTTTTCATGGCAGTAAATACTAACAATTTTCATTTTCTTTGTAAGGGATAGGCAAATCACTGATTAAGAAAGTAGGTGTTTCATATTCCTTGGAATTAATTACTAATAATAGTTATTTATGTATCAAGGGCGTAAAGTAGACGTTTATGGCCTGTGGCGTGAATAATGGCCCGATGGCGCTAGCCGAGGGCCATTACACGCTGAAGGCCATAAACGCTGAAGGCCATAAACGCATTTTACGCACGTGATACATACAAAATTTTATGCACTAGTGGTTTATTTCCCGAGTCACAAGTAAGTACTAGATTTCAACAAACTACAATTCTTATGTCACTTATAAATTCAGTTTTCAAGAGGAGCGCAATGTTTATGTGTATAATCTACTTACATATAAAAATTACCGTACGAATATCGCAATTATCGTAAGAGTAAAACTCTTCGTTCACTAACAGAGATTCATTCCATGAGATGTAACAATATGTATACCCAGTATATAGCTACCTAAATTTGACGTTGTCAATCAATCTGATGGTTGCTGTCTAGCAATACATCCAAAAAACAAGCTGAAATTGTCCATCTTTTCGCTAAATACTTCAGACAGCCAGAAAGCAACTATTCAAAGTAGAAAGTTTATAGCGGAGATGGAATCGAATGAACAATATAAGATGTATCATAATCATAACGATAGAATCAGCTGAGAGTTCGAATATGGGTATTCCACAACTGGATTTGTGGATATAAGGAACTTGAGAACAGCGGGCGGTAAAGTGCACTTTATGGCCCGTGGGCGATAATGGGCCCGCGGGCGGTAAAGTACTACTTTACGCTCGCAAATCTGGGCGATAAAGTGCACTTTACCACCCGCTAGTGCATAAAAATAATTAATGAGTACCTAATACAAATAAAATCATTTTCTGGTACATCATGGCTCCGTTTTGTTGAAAATATCGAGGCTGACAGTTTATCTGTATGGAAATCTCCAATCTACCTATCTGCCTTATTAGAACCCAACAAAAGGGTTATGGGGGGTCAGACAGAGTTTCCAAAAGGACAGAGAAAGTTTATTACAGGTATACAATAGTATACATACCTACCTATTTACCATTTCTACCGGTAAAGTGGTAAGTACTCACGGCCGATGTCCACAGACCCAGAAAAGAAGCAACAAAACTGGCATGATAGGTGTATGCAGCAGTTCTGAATATTTTTAGTCTTAAGTCATTAGTTTTCAATATAAAAGTTTCCTACATACACATAGTAGGTAGTGAAGAAATGTCACTAGACATTTCAAATTAAAAGAAGAATTTTTGCAGTAGGCTACGAGATCTTGTCACTTCAGATTTTAACTTTTACACGGTAGTTTAGGTGCTATAATTTGATTCCAATAATAGTTATTTATATATCATTTAACACATGGGAGGAAATGAACCTTTGCTACCAAGATATATATACAGGGTTATGATAAAGTAATGCACAAAATTCATAAAACTTACAACGATCACTTTTATGTGAGACCTACTGCAACTATTTTTCCCTTGTGTAAAAACACAAGCTCTATCACATAATGTAATAAAAATCTTAGCTCCCCATTAAAAAAAATTGTTGATGACGTCATAACTTTGACAACTTTGACGTGTTATTTTCGTAACTTATGTCAAAAGATGCGGAATAAAAAAAAACAGTTTGACGTGTTTTTGCATTTTTTTCAAAAGTGATCGTTGTACGTTTCATGAATTTTGTGCATTACTTTATCATAACCCTGTATATGATTTTATCCACGAACGCGTGTATTTGAGAGCGTCGATCTTAAAATTGTGCTGCAAGCGGTCTATCTCTCCAGTCTCGATCCAAATTAATGTGTTACATGATCTAAGGTTACAAAAGTGTACAGAGTATGCCATGGACAATTATTGACAGTATATTTGAATCTGAACGAAAATCAAGACACTTCTGTCACATTGCATTTTATTTAAAGTTTCGACTTCCGATTGAGTGAGTTTCGAAAATGAGGAAGTGTATGAGTGTATTGGAGTTTGGAAAGAAAATTGATATGTTTTATAGTAGTGAAGGAGACACTGATTATGTATTTGGGTAGCACAGATCTGTACCAAGGAAGCAAGCTGCAGCCGATTTATTTTACCTCCCACGGGAGGTAAAATTCTGTTTACTCCCGTGGGAGTAAATTGGCAGGTTTGTGCCCTTAAATGCAGGAGCAAACGCTTACTTTCGATTCAGTGAGTAGATAAAAAATATGTATCTTTCAAATTGGCTCCTCCAAGCCACTTGATATTCTCTATATCACATCAGATTTTCAGACAACGTGCTCTCGTGCAATCTTCAACTCCCTGTTGGCATCTAGAGAAGTTTTCTATCCAGGAAAATGTCGAAAGGTAGTTTCCATTCAAAGATTTTGTTTAAGAGAAAAATTATTAATCAAAAGTCATAAGTATAAGTTTCAACTAATCCACCCAGATGAATAATCATTAAAAACATCATTGAACTGAGGTAAGTATGGTCTTAGACACAGCCAAATTCAAATCGGGGGTAAAACTGCATTTATCATGCGATGTTTTTTTTTTAATTTTTTTCTGGTACCTACGTATTTTGGTCTAAAAAATACGAATTTGATAATGAAAATGTGAACAAACCACTATAATTATATCGAGATATTTCAAGAAAAAGTTCGAAATTTTGCCTTCTTTCTACCCTTGTGTTGGGGGCATTTAAACGTACTTGCTCTTCTTATTTTGTCATTGAACACTTTATATACTCATGATGTACTTCAATGACACATTTTTATATAGAAAATTCAAAAGGAAATATGATTTTTATGCCAAGTTTTTCATATTTAGTGAACAAGCATTCCAGATGACGGCCATTTAATCGATAGTCAATCAAAATACGAGATGTCAAATGTCAATAGACAGCTTTGGAATGACTAAAATGGCTACAAGGATTCTTAGGAATGACATTTCACACGCCATCATTTCAAATGATATTCTTCCTTCTCACTAAATATGGATAAATCTCAAGAAAATCATATTTATAGTTAAATCATATAATAGAAAAAATGTGTCATACATTGTGATATATATATATTAATAATAATAATAATAATAATAATGATAAATACGTTTATTATATACCCAAAATTGAATATAATATAAATTAAATAAATAAATGTTCTAAAAATTCCATCCAGAAGACAGGCAAAAAAGAAGGTGAAATTTGTAACTTTATAGTCGAATATCTTAATAAATAATGGTTTGTTCACATTTTCATTATCAAATTCGTGTTTTCCAGAAAAAAATATGTAAGTACCAAAAAAAAACCCATCACAAGATTAATGCAGTTTTACCAAATCGGGTAATATGGATATCATCTCAAACTATACCTTTTCAACTTCAACTTCAGCCACAAATAGATATACTTAAAGAAGTTCTTGTAAAAAAAACGATGATTTTCACAAAATTCTCTTTCCTCATCTTTGAGCTTGAAACTACTGTGTTAGCGGGAAATGTCATATAATTTACATTTTGAGGAAATCTTTTGTGAAGTTTTTAACCTTTACTATCAAGTAACGGCCCAGTCAATTCAAAATGAATCAGTTTTTTTGTCCCAAATTGAATGAGTTTATTCTCAGTCTGACTGTTGTCTTACTGGTGTACTCTATATAAATTTTAAAATGCTCACTTTCATTTGCTTATCGATTTGGGTGTATTTACTCCCAAATTTGAACTTGCAAAGGTACCTACAGTTGAAAAAAAAATCAACGTGATTTCTTCAACGTAAAACTATATGGCTCAGTGTATTGACATAATTATCACCTTCCAGTCTTCACTCTCACAGTTTCAACTTTTTCTGGGCAGATGAGAGTGTTCAAATACTCTAATCTCTCTACGGAATAAAGCAGGTTGATCCATTCGTTGACGTTCAAAATGGAAACCGTATACCCGAGGATTTCTAGGTGCCTTTTCTTCATCTGGTACTTGCCCTTCAGATGGGCATAGAAACGTGTGTAGGTGTATTTTCTTGTCAAAATGAGGGCGATCCTATGAATGAAACAAAAATCAATATGAGGTTTCAGCAAAAATCCTTGATTTCAATTCTTCATTGTAGAATTACAAATACTGCACCAATCTGTTCTCCTTTTTGGCAAATGTCTTTACTACCTGTATCTACTAACTGTTTTTGATTGTTGATATGGTGTACTCAGTCAAGGCTAGTTGCCATGGTTACACTTATGAGGTTTTGTTCATCAAGAATCCGTAAGAGGCGGTGATATCATATTTTCAATGGCCAATAGGCGTTTTCGAAAACCTACTCGGGTTGACTCGATCCCTAACCTGCACGTTCGTTTACCTAACCCGAGTAACATACCCATGTTCGGAAACTTCGGTGTTATTTACTCGATCACTAACTCGGGTTCATGTTTCGCAACCGTGCTCCAAAGCAGGGTCAGCCAGAGTTACTACCTTAGATCATACACTTACTACCACAGAACTACTCACGATTCATGTATTTCTAAGGTCACTTCAGATATTATTTGATTTCATCAATTGAACAAGAAGTGAATTATGTTGAATAGCTTTATAGTTTGATGATGAAAATACACCAACATCATGAGCAGAAGCAATATTCATCATTTCTAGAACAATAACAACGTGTATCTTTTAAGAGTTTAGTGGTATGTTTTTAAAGACATGGAGAAATTGATCCGAAAATATTGATATCGTATAGCAAACTGAAAAAATTGCATACAGCTGTAAGAAATCAAGAAGTTCTATTTGAAGAGGTATAAAGAGCTAAGTCAATAAAATAGTAACCTGATAAGTTCGTAAACTATAGTATTAGGATAAGTGATCCGACTGATCCATCACGTGACCCGTTCAGATCGAGTCAACAACCCAGAGTAAATTTCCGAAAACGCCTAATGGCGATCGTACCAAATAACAACAATCACGACAAAAAAATACAGGAATGGGGTAAGGATATTCAGTTTTTATAGTGTTTGATAAAATTCTGACAATGGGCGTGTACACCTTAGTAAAACTTTCAACTCAAACCATGTTTATAATGATCCTTTTATACATAAATAACGATTGACGACATAATTCGATCGAAAAATTAACTGGAATGTTTTATTTTTGGACATAAATGATAGTACCTTCTGAAAACGGACCCTCTTATGATGTAGAAACGTCATCTCGTTATAGTTTAAAGAAAATACCAAACGCCCGACGGAGACTGAGGTAACAGACATATTAATTCAAAAATCATGTATCATTCATCTCTGTCTGGAATAGTCCTGTTTCCGTATTAGGGTTTTGAGGTCACATCATCGCCTCGTTTTCAGGGGTCCGAGAAATCGGGGATTTCAATAATTTTTTATAAAACGTAGGGAGCTCACAGCAAGAAATGGTTTGCGGTGGTGAGATAGTTTGGGTGAGTTCTATCGAATTATGAAATAATTTTTTTTGGTGATATATGCCCATTGAGTCCCTATTTCTTACATTAACATCTATTAGAATAAGATGTAATGAGAACCTTGTATTGCTATTTTCAACTGTTTATTGTGGTCAAGTATGGGCAAAACAAAAGCACAACAGTGCAAACACCATATTAGTTATGAAATTCTCAGCAATAACCTAACTCAAATCTGCACAAGAGATTGAAGCAATACAACTATAATTAATTATATCAGATGTAAAAAAATATTAACACATCAGGAGAGGAGATATGTTTATAATGGTTCACATACTGGCAGAAGAGATATCTGGACTAAGGATTCATCAGAAGAAGCTAAAATATAATATAATGACAACATAGAAAAAGGATTGTTGTCAGCAAATCATATTATAGTGTCCCCTGTGAGGACAATAAATATATCAATATTTGAGTTTATTTCTTCCCAGAGTTTCATATAAGACTCCCTCTGGACCTCTCTGAACTTGAGCAGCATCAAGAGCAAATGTCTTGTATTTTTCTTGTTTGTCTTTTTCATCTCTACTTCTCAACGAAATATGACCAGTCCATTTTTTCTTAACTGGAGCATATTGAAAGCAGCTTATAGGCTTATTATTCAAGCCCATAAAAGAAAAAAGTATGCAGTGTTATAAAAATTCCTATCTTTAAAAAAATGTAAAAAAAGAATAAGGATAATATGAGTCTTGTTGAAATTAGCTTGGGTGAAATTGGATATGTTCACTAGCAGTGTTCAATTCCAGAATCTGAATTGAAAATGGAAACTATAGATAAGACAACTTCAATAACAGATACTCTCACTTAGTTTCAACATGGACAGAAGCCCTAATATTCATAGGTCACTATTTTATACTGTATTGAACTTATTTGAAAAAAATTGAGATATTTAACAGTAAGACAATTTCAAGAATTTTTTTGTAGATTGATATCGAGATTGATATTATACTCACTTTCTGCTGATTCCCCCTGATTCTGGATACACAATTTTATTCTCCTTATTCAAACTAACCACAAAGTCAATGTGATATCCATAAGGAGTCACCAAATTTTCCAAAATGTATTTTGGATGTCCAGCAATTTGTGTTAGGTGCTCTTTAATCCTTGAAGAAAGTTGATATTCTGAGAATTTTGCAACTGAAAAAAAAACACTACAAAATCTACTTGAGATAAAAGTATGTATGTACATAATTTTCCAATGAAAATTCCCCTACCTACTTACATCGTTTTTCAGTTTCTCGCACATACTTTTCATGAAACCAGGGAACATTGAATTCTGGATAATCTAAACATACAGCTCTGTTCAATTTCATTAGAGTATTCCTCACTCTTTGAGAATATTTGTCCTATGAAAATAAATGAGATGCTTCAGGAAAATATAAAAAAAAACTCAAGTATTGTACAGTGTGTTTTGAAACCCTGAGACATGGATATTCTACAAATTGATATGACAAGACAAAAATGCAAAAATGTCATTTTATTTTCCATATCCATCTGATATGTCAAATCAATCCAATTAATCACCTTTGAATAACAGTTGGCCAATTCGTTATCAAGTTTGTCCATGAATTCAACATTGAATATCTGTTTGACTAGGAAACTGGGAAGTCTGTTGAAAAAACTCAAAGACAGAGCACTTTGTAGAAATGCCAGACTACTAAGACGTTCTTGGTCCCTAAAATAGAAGCATAAATATAAAATATGATGAGAAAGTTCACTTATTGAAGGAAGTATGAAAGTTTTTTTACTGTGCTGTATTTAATTTTGTTCTGGAAATGTGGGAAAATAATTTGTATATATCAAGTCAAATTACCAGAAAATGCAGTTTCAAGAAATATTAGAAGATACATAGTTACAAAAAAAGGCTAATGAGAAAATGGTAGATATTTCTTACCTGATTATGATATCAGTGACTACCTGAAAGAATTTCTCAGCATTTATTGGATAGTATGCCAAATAATAGCAGATAAATAACAACTTCTCAGCATTGAATCCAATTATATAAGGACTATGATTGACAATGTACTCTGTGCAATTATTGATAACTTCAGGTATCAAACTATCAGTATTCAAGAATATATAAGTCAAATTCTCAATCATTTTTGAAGACATATAAGGCAATTTTTTGAATTCCATGATAAAGTTTTCAGTTAGGACACTGTCATGGTCATTTCTCAATATTGCAGCTTTTATGAGTATTGAATTTTGGCTAAAGTTAGTTTTATCTAAGGAAAGTATATCCCTAGTCCTCTGACTCAATAAAGCCCTAATCTTAGTCAATTGTTGTTTTGAGATAACTCCATTCATAGTGTTGCATGCAGTTCCAACACTATGTGAAATCTTCAGGCAATCAATAGCTTTGATCTGCATTAAATTATCCTCAAATCTTTGCAATAATTTATCTAGGAGATGCTCACTAGTACCATAAACTATTGTAAAACCAAGAAATGTTGCTAATTCGCATGCAAAAAGAGAGTTTTCATTAGAAATCTCCTTTTCTATGAACTCCAATATATTTTCTTCAAACTTCACATGCCTATAGTTATCTATGTCAGTATTGAAATGCATATAGTTTTGACATAACCTCACTGCAGTGGCTAAATCTTTGTTCTCCTTGAAAGCTTGCAAAGATGAGTCCCAATATCTTTCACACAATTGGATATCAGACACTTTCACATAAGAGAAAATTTTACGAAGTTGCAACAAGCCTTCAGGATCATTACACTTTTTCATGAACTTATGGATGTCTTTCTGAAACTGAGACTTCTGTAGAGGAGATGAAAAATATATCAGGGCTGAAAATATTTTGAGGCTAGTATCTAGATGATAGGAATTGTCTTCTTCACAGTTTTGCCAAAATTTTGCTGCTGATCTTTGGATTTCATTCAATATTTCACCAGGTTCTTCATTCTTGAAAAACACCTTAAAACAGAAATTAATATTGAATGTCCAGTATAATAGTATAATAGTAAATTGACAGGTACCTCATATAGTGTGAGAAGTTCTGTTACATTGAAAGAAGTGATTTCATCTTTCAACAATAGCATACACTTAGATTTGAGTATAGAAGTTTTGTACCTCCAGTCTGGATAATTTAGAAACCTGATTATACCCAAAATAGCTTTATGATCATTGCTTTTGAGTTTCCTTGTTTGTATAAGGTTTTCAACTCTCTCTGTGTACTTTGACAAAATGTCTTTATTAACTAAATTATGCAGTGTATCCAAACATATTGTCAGATTTACAAAATCATCAGGGGAGTCACATTTACCTAAAAATATACAATACATTAGGCACACCAAGCTGGATTTATGCACGACGCTTTTTCGTTACTCTTTCATTTCATAATCATCAACGTTTTCACTAACTTGTTGAAACATTGGTTAACAATATAACCATTTATACATCAAATTTGTCATTAATCTTTCATTAACTATTCGCTAAAAGATGACCAACTTTTATCTCTTAACGACAAATACAAATAAAACTGTGACTTGCGCAGGCGCGATTCTGTCAGAAGTCAGACAAACAATTTCTTCCTCTTCTTTTGCCAAAATGTGTTTGAAAATTCTGAAAATTCTAGTCGTATGTTCAAATTAGACTTCGAAAACAATATGAATGATTGATTTTTATTGTAATTATGTGATCACTGAATGTTCTAACACAAATATTTTCATCGGGCTATGTACGATGACGACTATGTTTTGACCAAGAAGAAGACTTCAAAATTTAAAAGTGGTGGTGCATAAAGGTATCATAGTCCTTAAATAAAAATAAACTTAATGACAATTAATGAAAGCAACAGATAAATGAAAAAGCGTTGTGCATAAATCCACCTTCATTCTTCAATCTTCATCAACTTTTTACTTTACCTATGAAATTGAAGATTTCTGGAATTAGGTGCAAAGCTACATAGTATGGCCTTACACTATTTTCACTAAATAAAACCCTCAACAGTTTTGAGCATTTATCTATGGCAAAGTTTTTACAAAGATCATCACGTATATGTGTAGCAATACTCTGCATCAACTCAGTTTCCACAGATATTCCCATTTTGTACAAATAAAGTAAAATGTAGGAGAGATGTGTGGAATCAAAATTGCTCAAACATTCTTGAATGATGCTCAATAGTTTGTTAAATTCAGGATATTTATACAGGTTTGACAAAAACTCTTCTGATACATTCATTTCCAAAGGTTTCAACAAACTGTACATGTTCTGTAGATCCTTCAATACCAGGATTGTTTGTGCTAAATGCTCTTCATTATATTTCAGTCTATATTTTTCCATAATTCTCCATACTCCTTCAACAGAAGCACAATTATTCAATTCTTTGATAATTATATCATCAGAATTTTTAAACAACATATTCTTGACACGTTCTTCCTGATCGTATTGTTCTGTTTCTAGTAAAGGATAATTCTCAGTTTCATCTTCCTCACTTTCTGTATGAGTTTGTCTGTAAACTTGTGTATTCAAACATGTTCTTGTTTGTTTGATAGGTAAATGTAAACGGTTTATTATTCGAGACGTCGTTAATAATCTCAATGACCTTTTGGCATGTTCTTTGTTTCTCATGGTATGGAAAACTCTCGGGAAAACTTTAAAATAACAAAAATATCTCATTTTTAAATTTCCATATTTGAGGTTACGATTGACATAAAAAAAGTTAGGCTAGTGTTTCTTGTCTTCTTTTTTTGAAAGCACGAATCCGTTTTGCCCAAACGGCACAAACATCATAGGAGATTCCTATTTTTACATGCACGGCTAGAGTTAGATTTTAGATTAATACAATCCATAACAATCATATCATCAGTACCATCACCATCCAGTGACTCTAGGACTCTAGCCACTCTAGGCACGGCTAGAGTCACGTAGCTGCTCATACAAATCATCATCAGTTCTACCAACCTTGTTGCTGCAGAAATGCAGTCACTGTTGAAACAAGAACAAGCATTCAAGCAAATTCAAGCCTTTAAGAGACATCTTACCTTCAAGCTAGGGTAAAGATTCAAAAACAAAACAATTTAAGAAGAAGAATGGCTGGACGGAGGTAAGAGGCCAAGAAAAATAAAGTAGAAGATGAAGAAACTGTCCCATTAAATGTTTAAAAATTTAACAACTTTTTTGCCACAGATTCCGGTACCCGTGTCCCTGGTCGCGGTGTTTCATATTTCGCCAACAGCCGTGTAGTGATTTTGACTAGTAATGAGGAATATTGAAATAAAAGCTAAAGTAAGAGATCTGACAAAATTAATGGACAAAGTCAGATCACTTGAACCACAAAAATGCGAGATCATTAAACAAGAAGACACCTTTTTCAATACTTCCAATGGAAGGCTGAAATTACGAAAATTCGAGGTAAGTACTTAAATTTTGAAGTGATGCTTGTATAAACGCTTTAAATATCTGCCTACTCAAGATGAGTTATATCCAATGTATACATACCTACCTTTTTACAATATTTTTTTCCTTTGATAGAATGGAACCGGTGAACTAATATTCTATAATAGACCAGACACAGAGGGTCCTAAAATGTGTAGTTATGAAAAATCAGATGTATCCACAGAAAATTTTAATAGTCTCCACTCTGTTCTAGAAAGATCATTGGGAGCAAAGACAACTGTGAAAAAAACTAGACAGCTGTTTATAGTAGACCAGACTAGAGTACATGTGGATTCTGTTGACAAGTTAGGAAATTTCATGGAATTAGAGGTAGGAATACTGCTATTCTCATTTCCTCAGCAGAATTTCTACAAGACATTTTATCATTTTTTACTGAACACTTATTCTTGGAGTACCTTTAAAAGTCCTATTTATCTTCAAGCATCCACAATTATCAAATGATGTCCAATTTTTATTATAGGTGGTATTAAATGACAATCAAACACCTGAAGATGGAGAACAAATTGCTTTCAACTTGATGACAAAACTTGGTGTTGAGAAGGAAGATTTGATATCTGGTGCTTATGCAGATTTGTTGAACAAAATTTAATGACATTTCTGCAAGAGGAATCAAAATTACATAAAGATTCTTCTTCATGATGCTTGACATAAATTGACCTACCATCTGATATTGTGCATTAGGTGAGAATATCATATTTTATTTTGTAGTTTCACATCTCAGTTTCTCAATAAATTATACATTCAATCAATAGTAGGTACCTATATTAGGTATCTGAATGTATCCTGGAAAATAATAACTTCCTGTAAATATTTTCACTGAACTCCATGACAAAGGTATAATGAGTAGTAAAGTAATACTATGAGTACTTCAAAATATTCTGGTTATACAGGGTGTCCCTTAAGTAATGAATCAAAAGGAGTGGGGTGGAAGGGGGGGGGCATTTATTGTAATCAAACTATAATGGTATATGTTGTTATCAAATTGTTGATGGTTCAAAAGTTATTCAAATTTTCTGAAAAATGCAACCCATTTGAAAAAGATTTATAACAAAGTTTTGAATAACATCATATGTTATACCATTTCTGTATTGAATCTGTATTGAATGGGCAACTTCTTCTTATGATTGGTGATCTGTGTGGGGTAGTTTTTAAATCTGCTAGCAGCATTTAAAAATTGACTTAAATATTTGATTTGATGACAAAACTCAAGGAAAACAACATTTTTCTCAGTTAATTGATAAGAATTAATACATGTCATGAAATTATTTTTGGGGAAAGGTGCATCCATGTGGATGACATTTGTAAAAGAGAAAAATCACAAATGTGACATAGTTTTATTAATCAATTCTTTTTATAGAAATGAAAAACCATTCATAACTTTTGGATTCTCTACAATTGGATAACCACATATAGGATTAGTTTGATTGGAAATGACCCCTACCACCCCATTTCTTGTTGCATAATTATCACAAAGAGTGTCAGTTTAACAGTTGAAATGATCATTGTGCTGAAACTTTGAGATTTATAGCCTTGAAGATTTTGAAGTTTGAATTGTATTCAATGTGATTATTTTTGAGTGGTAGAGAATTAGTTACTATGGGAATGGAAATAATTCTAAATTTCTGATTGGTGATGAAGTAAATGTCATCAATATAGTATGTTACAGTTTCCCTCATTTTCAATTCTTCAAGTTTATAGCTGACATGATTAGTAATCCAGTAGGTTGTAGCACTTTGTAGGTTCCATCAGTATTGACAAAATTTGGTCTGCTACTCAATTATTCATTTCAACATAAGTTTATAAAACAATCTAACTGAACAATTTTGGTATACTTTTAAATGAAACTCAAATTGTGGTGACATCACTTTAATATCTGTGTCATAACATGCCACAATCCAGTGTATATGAAAACAAGAACAAGTGAGTTTCAAACTGCTCATTTTATCCATATTGTGCAATACTTGTTAAAATATCAAAGGAAGAAAAGAATCAGATGAAATGGCAATGCTGTTCATCTCACACTATCTCATTGAATAGTGAATTATTGATCATAGTGTTCTAAGGGGAGCATTTTTTTGGGAATTTATTTTGAGAAATCTTAGGAAGAATAAGAAATATTAAAAAATTCCCTTTTCTGTCTGAGTGTTCTTGTCTATTACTGATATTGGGTGAACACAAAATGATGGAGTTTTCAATAAAAAAATTACACAAAATTGGTTCTATAACATTTGGAGAAAAAATTCCTTCACACAAATTTATAGATTGACTGTCTTGCCTGAATTTCTCAGCTATGAACTGTCAGCCGCGGCAGTCAATCTAAATTATTTGTTGCCCTGTGAAACAGAAACATATTATTTTTTCTACAGATGTTATAAAACCAATTTTGTGTAATTCTCCTATTGAAAACTCCAACATTTTGTGTTAACCTTTCGGCAATGTCAGCAGGGCAGGACTGAAGGTACAAAACGGGCCGGGCGTATTTTCCAAAGCAGGCCAATTTACCTGTCAAGAAGTGTGTGTTGCAGGCGTTTTTGCTGTCAAACTTCAAGGTTGCTTAATATATGCAATGTTAGAATATTCACCATCAAAAATATCGAGACTTCGTCAAGTTGTTTTGTTGGAGATTTCACATTTTCAAAAATAAATCGTAATTTGATGAAAGATAGATGAAACAGAATAAATACACCTATTTGATACTAAGAACAATAAACAAAATATAATAAAACTAATGAACTTTGTTGCATAGGTAGGGGGGTTTTTCGTGCCATGGAGCTGACAGGAAGAAAAAAAGCTCCGCAGGCAAAATTTATTGTTGTTCAAGGTCAAATGCCTTCAAATTGATAGTTAGGCTTGTCAGAGGGATATCATGAAGGTGGGAAAAGATGATTTCAAATTTACCAGAAAATTTAAATTTCCTAATAGCAACAAATATCGAATTTTAATTTCAAGTTTACGTAGACCTAAAAAAATCCTTGAGTGTTATTTGGTAAGACAATTTGATAAATACGTAAATCACATTATTGTTGATGGTTTTTCAATTTCTCCACGGGAAGACTCTCCAAATCGCGACACATACTTTTTTGACAAAGCAAATTTGGGAAAAAAATACATAAAAACCATCAAAGATTTGTTTACAGTTTTGGTTGTCATGCATTCAAATGTTGAATTTTCGTTCTGTTGCTGGAAAAGTTAGGGTAAATTTTTTTTGCTGTCATAATGACAAAATCACATCGGCTTACGGGATGTTATGTACTAAAATTAAATCGTCACAATGACAAAATAAATTACACGCTGCAGTTTTGGCATTTTTTGGCGTATAATGGCCTCGGCTGACGCCTACAAACATTGCGCCCTGAATGAATATTTCAGAAGATATTAATATAATAAAAGTCTCCACGTGATCTTGGGACAGACAGTTCCATACTCTTTTCAAAATTAATTTTAATTTAGAAAAGTACTTCTTACATAGCTACATGCAACTTGTGAAATAGACACGTCAATGAATATCTCTGTACTTTTTCTGGATCAGGGTAGAATAAACATGCGTTTGGATGAAATTTAATATTTCTACCAAATATCAGGTATAAAATAAATCTCTAACAGGCAGTCCCAGGACAGCGGGCCAAAAATGAGCCTGGCCATCGGGCGATCGCCCGACGGATCAGTCCGACCCTGAATGTCAGTATCAATTTTGATTACCAATTTCATTCAAATATCTTGGAACGTTGCATAGCAACAAACTTTTCCTGCCTAGACAGAGAAAGTACGCGTTTCCTGCCTGTTAAGTGTTATAGAAAAGCCGCTTTCTCTGCCACTTGAGAAAAATAACTACCAATTCCTTCTTTCTGTTGTTGCTGGCAATGCTAGGTCAGTGGCAAATGGAGAGTTGGAGACCCAAGTTATTTTATCAGCAAATTAGGTTGTCACCTTAATTTGGTTATAATTTTGTTTCATTGGCATAAGCCATACAGAACCACAATGATGATCATGATAGTTTTTATTATGTTTTTTTTTCATTGCCTTTACACAATGACGGCTAAATAGTAAATATCAAGTAAGCTGCCGATCTGATCTCGGCAGCTTACTTGATATTCAGCCGTCATTGCCTTTACCAATGACGGCTAAATAGTAAATATCAAGTAAGCTGCGACATGGTCGGCGAGCTAGGGTTCCTTTGTTCGTTTCTGTCATTCAAATTTGTGAACTGTGACTGAGTGAGTGCTGAGTGGCTGTCAACACTGTCAACAGTGTCAACAACAACACAAACCATAACCTTATTTTTCAGAAATATCAGTATTTTAATTTAGAATTTTAATCCAATAGCTAATAGCTATGATAAGAAATATCTTGTCTTGTAAGGTTTCACCTCAATATCAAATTTCACAACATATTATGTCGTCACGTAAACAATGCCCAGCTCGCCTAATCTCGCTGAATCTCCGAGGGCTGCAAAGATCCGAAAATACTCTGAAACGATCATTTATGCCCTTTTAATATTCATCCTGATTCCATTTCGAGTCGATCAAGATAAAGAACAATTCCAAAAGTACCTGAAGGATTTCAACAAGAGTTATGACAATGAGACTGAATATGAACTCAGACTACAGGCATTCAAGGTAAATATATACTAAATATATAAGTGCAGGATTCTATTCTATCAAGTTTTATGATTTTTGGTAATTATGCACTTATCATGGTGGATTTATAAACTCAAGTAAACTAACAATTAAATTAACAACTGAGAATTAAGAAAGATGGATACATGAAAATCCCATTGGGGGTTTATAAACTTGTATCTGTCAATTCTCAATTAAACTAACAATTAACAACTAAGAAGATGGTCATCTTTCATCTTTTCAACTAAGAATTAACAATTATGAATTCGACGCATGCGCTTAAGGCATCATATTTTTTGACATTGACATTAAGGAATTATAGACCACGAAAATATGAAATATATCTTGTCTATGGCGAGATTTAACTTCACTTTTAATGAAAATACTTACGAACTTATGAGTAACTCCCATTAAAGTAGCTATCGTTTGCCAAGCATTTTCCTTTTTGACATTGTTTTTGAAATCTATGTTTCTCTTGCCATAGAGTAGTCTAAACTGGGATACACTCTCTATCAATTCTCCGTCGTCCATTATTTTGATTAAACTATCTCTGTATTATGAAATATTTTTCATCAGGAAGGAAAGCAACCCTTGTATCAAACATAACATAACCAAACAGAACGCCCAGAACGGTTTCTTTACTCTAAACGTCAAGCAGGAAACAATAAAAGACCTAATTCTAAATTTTCAGTAAATGATGTTTATAAACGCCTCCTTATAGTTGTTAATTGTTAATTGCTAATTGTTAATTCAAGTTCTTAGTTTAGTTGAGTTTATAAATCCACCATCATGCGATGAGTTTTTTTTTTCGAAAAATTTTTTGTTCCTATGTATTTTTGTCTGAAAAACATGATTTCGATAATGAAAATTTGAGCAAACCACTATTTATCTGAAGAAAAAGTTCGAAATTCGCCTTATTTTTTTCCCTGTCTTGGATGTACTTATATTACTTCAATGACCATTTTCAAATAGATAAAATTCAACAGGAATTATGTTTTTTTTGGCGAGTTTTCCATAGTTACTAAACAATCATACCAGATGCCGGCAATCATTCCAAATCAATGAACTCAATCCAAATACAAAATATTGTTTTTGAATGACGTTACACACACCACTATTTTGAATGATATTCTTCCTTTTCACTAAATATTGATAAATCACAAGAAAATAATGTTCCTTCTTGACTTCCATGTATAAAAAATGTGTCATTCAAAAACATTGTGATATATAAATTGTCCAATGATGAAAAAAGAAGGGCGATCCAAAAGACAGGCGGAAAAGAAGGTGAAATCTGTAGCTTTATAGTGAATATCTCAATAAATAATTGTTTGTTCACATTGTCATTATCGAATTCGTGTTTTTCAGACAAAAATATGTAAGTAATAAAACAATTTCTGGAGAAAAACCCATTAAGTGAAAAATTACCTGATTTTTTTGTAGTCATCCTTGAGAAGCATTAAACAACTTAATACTGACCATTCTAACGATTCAGCTAGATATGGCCTCACAAAATACTCTGATATGCTTCCTGAAGAATTTCTCATGAACAAACTACTTCCTAATATTACTCATATTTATGGGCTTCCACATTCACCCCTGAGAAAGAGATCTGTGCCTCTGGTAAGAATCAACATTCCTCAAAAAGTTGATTGGAGACAACTAGAGGCTGTTACTAAAGTTCGTTCTCAAGATGCATGTGGTGCCTGTTGGGCATTCTCAGTGATAGGGGTAATTGAGTCCATGTATGCCATAAAGAACAAGGAACTGAAGTATCTCAGTGTTCAGCAGATGATTGACTGTTCCAAGTATAATGATGGGTGTAATGGAGGTGATATATGCTCTCTTATGAGATGGATCAAGTCTGAATCCGTTGAGATTCTGGATGAGCAAAATTACCCTTTGTACTTGGCTGATCAAGAGTGCAGGAATATCAGTGGAAAGGGGGTCCAAGTAGCTGATTTCATGTGTAGAAGGTAAGATTACAAGCATAGGTTAATACTTTTGAGACTCAACAAAACTCATCTTGGTCATACTAGGAAATATACTCCTCTCTTATTGACCAAATTTCTAAGGATTAGACATTTTCTATTTTGAGGTTGGCTATAAAAATGCCAAATGTGAATAAAATCGTTGCTCCTGTCCCAATTTTTGTTATTCTTATCAGATCAACAACTTGAATTATTAATTATTGAAAATAAGAGCAAAAAAACTTCTTGGATCCTTCATTGATCATCACCCAAAGTGCTGTGAATATAGATGTCAATAGTGTCACTACTGTCACTTGAAACATGGGGAAAAAAGTCCTGATATATGTACTGTTGTACAGAAAACAGATACAACTCTGTACATAATTTTCCATAGGAGGTATTAAAATCAATAAATCTCTATATGTATGAAATTGAACAAAGGCATTATGTTATATAACTGCTGCATTCAGCTTCCTCATCATCAGTACTTGAGAAGGAAATATTATTTCCATAATGCTATCATCATCACTGTGTCAATAATGAAAGAAATATCCACCAAAGTGGATTTCAATTTTGCACAGAATTCTGATCACCCTCTATCTGTTTTTCTATTAAATGTCAGTAGATAGTGAATCGAAAGTTGAGACAGAGACATGAAAGCTGTTTTGACCGATAATGAATAGTTTCGACACAAAAAAATCCTAGAGTTGAAAAATCACGATTTTGAACACATATTTCTGTAATCATTCCCGCTAGACTCCAAGTGTGATACATTGATGAAATCAGCTTTTCAGGGAGAATCTAAAAATCCAATGAAATACAGGGTGGCAACACCGCATTGTCGAAAATATCGAAATGATCTATCGTTCGGTTCTCCAGATTCGTCCAATGTTCCATCCACCGTGAAACACCTTATAAATAGGAAAGGATCTTCTTACCGACTGATAAATAATAGTACTTTTCTCTGCAATCGACTCAAAAAGTCGTCCATCTTTGTTACAAAATTAGCTCTTGAAGTTGACGTTTCTCTTACTGACACAATAAAATGATTACCCAGTATATATGTTGCTAGGCAACACTTTTACTGTCTAGGAGCTAAACTTGAAGTTTAACTCCTAGGAACTAAGAGTGTGTCGGATGACATCTGATATGATAGCTGCTTTGACACTGACATGCTCAAGTGAGTCAACATAGTGGTAATTTAACTTATTATTTAATAATTAGATATCAATTTTTTCGATTGCAGAGAAATAACATGTTTCATTCGGATCGAAGTTGACTGTTTGACCCGCAAAATTTGCGTGCTCGGTCGCTCCGCCTCGCAAACGCAAATATCGCTTGTCAAACAAAGTGTCACATTTGATCCAAATAAAACGATGTACTATTTTCTGCAATCGGCTCAAAAGTCGTCCATTTTTGTTCCAAAATTAGCTCTTGAAGTTGACGTTTCTCTTACTGGCACAATAAAATTATTAGTATGTATGTTGCTAGGCAACACTTTTAGTGTCTAGGAGCTAAACTTGAAGTTTAACTCCTAGGAACTAAAAAACGTGTCGAGTGACAGCTGATATGATAGCTGCTTTGACATTGACATGCTCAAGTGACTCAAAATATTGCTATTTCCACTTATATTTCATTAATTAATTAATTACGTATCAATTATTTCGATTGCAGAAAAAATAGCATGTCTCATTCGGATCATAAGTGACTATGTTTGACTCGCAAAATTTGCGTGCTGTCACAACAACAATAGTAGATTGTTTTATTAGGATCAAAAGTGACGCAAATTTTGCTTTCGCTCGGCTTCGCTAAACGCTCCGCCTCGCAAATGCAAAATTCGCTTGTCGAACAAAGTCACTTTTGATCCGAATGAAACATGCTATTTTTCCTGCAACCGAAACAATCAACTCAAATGAATATGTGATATAACCACCAATGCCGTGCCATATGTACGCAATGCAACAAATAGTGACAAATAATCCGTGTAGTGAGAACATTCTACCTGCATCAACAGCAGGTTCATTCAATTTTCAAGAATGTTCGACCAATATAAATACAACCACAGAGTGCCATATTTGTGTATGGACCAGGTGCTCTAATGGCAAATACCGCGCCAGTGCCACAAGACGTGAAAAATGTAAGGTTAGTGAGCATATCAACAATAATAATTGCGATTATTTATTCCTCTCCATACTGTTTAAATTGATAATCAAATGGAGATAAACAATATCGTTGTTTGATACAAAAAACTATTGCTTGCCGTGATTATTCAAAAACAAGTTATCCATCCCGAGAATAACGAATGAAATACAGATCAAGCAAGTATTTGAATCTTGAAGGCTTCCCTGATCAAAACAAAAATACTCAACTGAGATGTCTATAATTCCAATACTTAACTATATTGAGGTGTATTTATATCTCCAGCATGGGTATAAAATGCCAAATCTGCCGAAATCGGAAACAAATCAGGTATGCGTCTCAACCCAAATAACCAACCATAACAATGTTGTTTATTCTTGATGACGTTCAGTACATCCTTTTCAGTTCCTAGGAGCTAAAGTTCAATTTTAGCTCCTAGGAACTAAAGTTCAACTTTAGCTCCTAGGAACTAAATATGTTGCCTAGCAACATACCTATTTTTGTGTCAGTAATAGAAACGTCAATTTAAGAGCTGATTTTGGTATCAAAATGGATGACTTTTGTGTCGGTTGCAGAAAAATTACAATTTTCACAACCATATTCGGAGGAAAATATCCCAAGGTCTATTTTCAGTTTTGTAGACTCTGAAGATATCATCTTAACTCTCCTAGCGGAACAGGGTCCTGTTGCAGTAGCTATCAACGCACAAACTTGGCAAAATTACATTGGGGGCACCATCCAATATCACTGTGATGATGATCAATTGAGATTGAACCATGCCGTGGAAATTGTAGGTTATGATTTGACTGCCCGAATTCCGCATTATATCGTGCGGAATTCTTGGGGGGAAGAATTCGGGGACAAGGGTTATTTGTATATAGCTGTTGGGGGCAACTTGTGTGGTTTGGCACACGAGGTAACTGCCATACGAATTTTGTGAATTGATATTCGAGTAGTTGTGATAGTAAAGAGTCAAAGATTTAAACAGGGTGTCCCAAAACTCAACGATTTATTTCAATTAGCTTACTTAGGCCCTTCATACTGTAAGCAAAATCACCACGCAAACCTGCCGAGTTATTCAACAAAATTGCTCATTCGGTATAGGTTTTGACATGATTACAATATTCAATATCTTCCAAAGGATTTGATTTCCACGAAATTCATAATGGTGTCAATTTCTCCAAAACTATCAATATTTTACTAAGGTCATATTGTGATATTCTGGTCAGTCATGAGCTGGACTGTCAGCCCTTCAAAGGATGACTTTGAGTTTCGGGGCACTCTGTATATGAACAAAAATATATTAGAGCAGCAGTAGTATCTATAATATATTATCTAGTTTTATTTCTTTATTCGAATAAAAAAATCATGTAAATAAACTATCTATTCATCACCTAGAGACCATTTCCTATCCTACATTTAAACCAGATATTTTGGATACAAATCAACTGGAATATATTCGAATTTTGTATTATGATTGATACATACCTAATGAAAATTATGATAGAAGTAGTGAATTTATGTGCACATACCAACTGACCATTGATCTCATGAGTATTCCTAGGTAGGCTTTGTTACTAACATAAATCATCACCTTATTGGGATTAAGACTTTTTATAGTAGTTCAAAATGATAATTAAGTTATCATTTTAACTTCAAGTTCTGTCGTCTTCAACTACCCATCTAATTTATCGCTCCGATTTCGGAAATACCCTGTACATAGGATTTTGGCACGTAATTAATTATATTGTTTCCAAGATTCTTCGCATTCCAACATGATGATGTGCAATAATTTATTTGTGAAAAACATAGCCAGCTGATATGAAATCACAGCCTTTGAGACGCAAATTCCCAATTATTCATATTGATCAGATATTATGTTGTTTATCCTCAACATATTGGGAAATGGAAATATTCACGTAAATAAATATTTTCATACCTATTGTAATTGAGGTAGTAAATATTTTCCTCTTACCTAGCTTTATCCCATTTATTTATTTATTTATTTATTTGGACACGAAAACCATTAATGATATTCTTGATGTAGAATGTAATTAATGTATTGAAAATTGATAGCACTTGATATTAATAATCATAATTATGTTTTTCCCAAATTATACCATGGATTCATGAGACCAAAATTGGATGATTGAACCAAACTTACCTTGATACCAAACTGATCCATTGAGCTGCTATGACAGAAACTATATCTTCTTGAATATTTCAACATTCAGGATATACTGAGTGTTTCCGAAATTGAATAAGCAGTTAACAAAATGGCGTGTTGTATGAGACATCATGACACAACATCAACCACAAGGAAATTATTTATTGACTATTCCATTGTTTGTCTCTAGAATCAATCAGAATCGGCCATTTTCACGGTTTTTTCTGTATCACAGAGATATTTTTTGTTTTACTAAATTTTATCGGACTTGCTCTACCAATACAGAAGCCGAATCGAACCACACGTGACCAACCTGTTTTTCTCAGCGTTTCCATGGAAGAGAGTTTGTTTCTCCTCAGCAGATCCAACACGATGTGCTGAGACAATTTCTGAAATCATCATGTTGAGGATGCAAACATATGTACCGAACACTGCAAGGAGAACATCATCCGATTAGGCCTGGTTCAGTAGAAACTGCTCTAGCTGTCGCTTCCAAACAGGCAGCATTCCATCGATGGCAGAAAAATCCAGGCTCTGAGACTAGAGCAGAATATGTCAAGGCTAGAGGCATATGCAATGAGACAATTCGATCATCAAAAGATGCTCATAATGCCAAAATAATATCAAAACTTGTTGAATGTCCTAACGGATCCCGTTCATTTTGGTCCTTCGCCAAAGCTGTAGGAAGAAACTTCCACTTCCAGCTCGTTTCCTCCTCTAACCAAGGAAGATGGAACACTAGCCACAGCTGCCCAGGAGAAAGCCAACATTTTTGCACATTTATTTGCTGAAAATTCCACTCTGGATTCATCGGGAAAACAACCTCAAAACATAACGCCAATTAACAATCATTTGCTCGAGATCACTTTTCGCCAACGTACTATAAGGAATATTTTATTGGGTCTCAACTCCAACAGAGCTTGTGGCTCCGACGGAATCCCACCGATTGTTCTCAAGAAATGTGCTCCCGAACTAACACATGTTCTCTGCAAGTTGTTCAACTACTCTTAAAAATGGGGGATATTCCCGTCCAACTGAAAAATTGCAAGAGTACAACCAGTTCCTGAAAAAGGCCAAAAAGACCCTACCTAGCAACTACAGACCGATCGCACTGCTATCTTTTATTTCAAAGATCATGGAGAAAGCTATCAACATCGAGCTCATGAAATACCTGTAACATTCTGGTATTATCAACGATAGGCAATATGGCTTCCGTCATCAGAGGTCAACTGGTGACCTGCTCGCTTACGACTCACATATATGGCAGCAATATATTGAAAAATATAGTGAAACCTTAGCCGTGGCACTTGATATCTCCAAGGCATTCGATCGAGTCTGGCACCACGGACTCCTCGCCAAGCTTCCATCTTATGGCTTGCCTCCCAGCCATGTTCTCTGCTAGCTAGTTTTCTCTCAAACAGGTCTTGCCATGTAGTGGTCGACGGAGTTTCATCTGACTCTCTTATCATAAATGTTGGTGTTCCGCAAGGATCAATTCTAACACCAACACAATTTCTACTCCTTATCAACGATTTGTTGGAAGCAACTTCATGTCCAGTACACAGCTTCGCGGATGATAGTACCCTCCATACCGTCTTCTCTTCCAGGGCTCCAATTCCAGCCAGGCAAATCAGAATTGAATGAGGGAGGAATGTTGACAACATAAATAAAGACTTGACAACAATTCTCGAATGGGGATCCAATAACTTGGTAGAATTCAATGCAAACAAAACACAAGCATGCATTCTTTCTAGAAAAGCCGATCTCACTGTGCCCAACATAAGCTTGTCAGGAGTAACCATACCTTTGAAGACATCCATTTCGATGCTTGAGATTACTATCAGCAATAACTTTTCTTGGGCAAATCACGTGAGATCAATTGCTAAAAGTGTATCCCAAAAACTTGGTTTTCTGTTTCGGTCCAGGAGCTATTTCACTTCCAGTCAGCTGCTTATGATCTATGTATAAGGCACAGATCCGACCTGTCCTGGAATACTGTTCCCATATTCGGAGTGCAGCACCCAAACATACCCTGAAACTGTTGGATTCTGTCCAAAAAAGGGCAATTCGTGTCGTGGGTGATGCCTCGCTCACAAACTCACTCACTTCTCTGGGACACCGTTGAAAAGTTGGCGATCTGGCTCTATTTTATAGATTTTTTCATGGACGATGCTCTTCTGAAATATCAACAATTGTTCCTCCCTTGGCAGTCCCCGCGAGATTAACCCGTCGAGTTGAGGCTTCGCACTCCTTCGTGGTCACTTTGGAGACCTGCAGAACTTCTCTTTCTAAAGACTCGTTCATTCAACGAAAAGCGAGGCCCTGGAACACATTGCCAAGGGAGGTGTTCCCCGAGGCATATAACCTCTAGAAATTCAAGAAGAACACCAATTCCTACCTCATTCTCCTCGGTTCTCACGATGTTGTCTGAACTTTACAGGATAACCTTTTTCGTGGGAACCAGAACATAAAAAAAATCTTCCTCGTTTTTCAGCGATAAAATTTTGGACGTTCAAAACGTCAAATTCGTTGGAAGAGAGCCGCTCGTTTATTATCTCGATCGTGGAATTATCCTGGAAATATTCCTCGATTGACATACTCCAGCTTGCTGCTTTAATTCCGCTCATGACAATGTTCCAATACTTCTCACCTACGGCTCGAAAGTTTTGATAAACGATGTCATTCGGCGAAATTATCAGGCAACAAGCTGTCGTAACAATCGCCGAATATTTCCGGCAAAATAGTATCACTTGTGGTATTACATATGAGTATTTTTTAATGTACGCATAGGCTGATGAAAAACTCGTTTTTTCCACAAATCTGGAACACCCTGTATGGATGAAAAAATGCATTATTCTATATTTATCCTGATTATTTTCTATAAAACAGGGTGTTGCGAAATTCGACCAACAACGCTTCACACGTGATAGCCTTTGTCATTTGATATGACCAAGGTAGGGAGATAATGTCTCCAAGTGCTTAGTTTTGCAAACATCGTTTCAAATTGTTCACTTGAATAGATAAATGTTGTAAAATTTAACCAACTTCCGATATGCTAATTATAGTGGTACGACATACAAAATACGGTCTGTATAATATACACCCTACACAGGTTGAGCTAATAATGATTTACCTTAAACAATATCTGACTATTTCACGAATCCTCGAATAAAAAATGGCTTTCACTTCTCTCATTGCCCTGTGCACCTCTCCTTCCTCATTGTTCTGCAGCCGGTTCAACATTTCGCAGAAAATGTTGCCCACGTCGTTTTTGTTGATATTTTCATACAGGGGGAGGAAATAGTTATCTAACCAACTAGTGTATTAATGAGGGCGATTAATGATCGAGATATTTTAACGTGCGAGCAAAGCGAGCGCGTTATTGTTCGAGATCATTAATCGATTTTTAATATACGAGTTGGTTACAAAATTTTTCCGTCGACTGTATTTCTCATTTCTCCTGCAATGAAGAAAACTTGGTTCGCGAAGTCATCATTCATCCGGAAACTACTAAGAATCACCCACATTTGTCGAAATATCAACATTAGAAATAAATTCCTTGTGTTAGAGAACAGGGATAAAAATCGTTTCAGAAACTTGGAAAGGCGAACCCGTTAACGGAAAATCTTCGATGAAATCCATATTTTCGATTTAAATGCAGAATCCGTAAGTTATAGCATAAACAATGAATGCACGTGGCGTATGTTTGGTTGCCTATTAAACAATCGTGCATTAATAGACAAATTGATCATTAATAGGGGTCAGTAATGAACGATTTCATAAACATTAATCTTACTCGTTAATACGAGGTCGACGGAAATAATTATTATTGTATTGACTCTCCTTGTAGTTCAAAATCTTCCTACCATTTGTACTGAAAGGAGAGTCAACAATGTCAACATGTTCTAATTACTTCGGTTTAGAGCTTAGAAAGGCAATTTTTGAAAACTGCTCATCCAAAAATGATAAACTAGGGTACTGTTGAAAAGAGAATTGAACGTTCTTTCAAAATAATGTGCATCTTGACCACCTTTTTCATATGAGGTTCTAAGAGTACCTTACATCTACTGCTCCTATGGGGTTGTCCTTGAAAATAAAATTGACCTGTCTTTTCGATCTTTCATATCATTTAGTGCAAGGCAGATATTAAGGATAGGAAGTTTTCTAATTGACGCGGCATTTTCCGGAAACTGCTCAACAGAAAATGATAAATAAAATTATGTGCCATTCGACCCCCCTTTCAATCTTCCTCTTTCTGTGAGCCTCATCTTACTAGAGAATATTATAAATAATTTCATTTAATGTCACAAATGTCGATTGTTTCCGTTGTAAATATGAAATAATTAATCATTTTTTCTCACCCTGTATTACTTCATTTTGCTAATATCAGCATATGGGGGGACGATATACATTACTTTCGGTCACATTTCTATTGTCGATATGATTCATTATCATATACGGTTGGCGAAAAACGTTTTTACTAATTTTGTTCTCAGAATCTGCGGTTGAAATCTTCATGTGTAATTTCGGGACACCCTGTATAGTGATACGACATAGAAAATACGATATGTATACACTCTACACAAGTTGAGCTATTTATTAATAAAATAAAAATCTAAACTATCGCATTTGGTATTAGAGTTATACTAAAACAGTTTATTATTACAGGGTGATAGTCAATGGTGTGTTCTCCTTCAATATTAGCCAAACCTTCAGATATACAGGGTCGCTGATATGTATGGAAACAGGTGAATATCTCGGCAATCTGTTGTTAGATTTTTTTGAATTTATGTACAGTGTGATTTCAAAACGTGGCGGATTTGAAAATGTTATAGCATCTGTTGCCACTTTTTCAGTTATTCCGGATTTTTAGTAACTTCCTCATTTTGAATGAAACACCCTGTACTTTATTGGATTTCCAGATTCTCCTTGAAGAGCTGATTCCATCGATCTATCACACTTGGGGTCGAGCAGGAATGATTACATAGGTATAGGGTGTTTAAAATCTAGGTTTTTCAACTTCAAGATTTTTTTGTGTGGAAACTATCCATTATCGATCAAAACCGCTTCAATGTTCCTATCTTCACTTCTGATTTACCATCTACTGACTATTTAATTGGAACAGATACAGAGGGTGATCAGAATAATTCTGAATCTTGAACCACCCTGTATTTGTTTAAATTAAATGTCAGTAGATAGTAAATCAGAAGTAAAGATGGGAACATTGGAGCGGTTTTGATCGATAATGAATAGTTTCGACACAAAAAAATACTAAAGTTGAAAAATCTAGATTTTAAACACCCTATACCTATGTATTCATTCCTGCTAGACCCCAAGTGTGATAGATCGATGGAATTAGCTCTTCAGGGAGAATCTGAAAATCCAATAAATTACAGGGTGTTCTATTCAAAATAAGGAAGTTAATAAAAAATCCGGTATAACTGAAAAAGTGGCAACATTGGCTATAACATTTTCAGATCTGCCACGTTTTGAAATCACACAGTACATAAATTCAAAAAAATCCAACAACAGGTTACCGAGATATTCACCTGTTTCCATACATATCAGCGACCCTGTATAGAAAAAAATCGAAAACAACAGTTATAGGGTTTCATGAGAATTGTCACCTAAAATAATTTTCACATCTATAGGGTGTTTGAATTCCAAGATATCGGCTGATGATGGGACACCCTATATATTATTGCATTTTTCATCAATGAATCATACTTGGGGCCTAACAGGAATGATTACAGAGGTATAGGGTGTTCAAAATCGAGATTTTTCAGCTTGAATTTTTTTTTGTGTCGAAACTATTCATTATTGGTCAAAACGGCTCACATGTCTCTATCTCAACTTTTGATGTACTATCTACTGACATTTAATTGGACCAAATACAGGGTGGTTCAAGATTCAAGAATTCCGGTCACCCTGTATCTGTCCCAATTAAATGTCAGTAGATAGTAAATCAGAAGTTAATATAGGGGCATGTAAGCCGTTTTGACCAATAATGTTTAGTTTCGACACAAAGAGATCTCCTAAAGTTGAGAAATCTCGATATTGAATATCCAATATCTCTGTAATCATGCCTGCTAGACCCCATGTGTGATAAATTGATGATATCAGCTCTTCAGGAAGAACCTGAAAATGCAATAATATACAGGTTGTCCCATTGAAAAAACCCATCATCAGCCGATATCTTGGAAATCGAACACTATACTATCTTTAGTTTGATTTGAAATACTTATATGTTGATTATAACTTCCTATTCGTTTGTCTACCAAATATAACAGTGAGCGAGCTATTATGATATTCCAGTTACAGTTATAATGTTGTTGAAATACTATTCCTAGTTCGATTTGACTAATTTCTACAAATTATTGGTTGTACCACAAAAAAATTATCAAAACCAACTAATCTTTTTGGTTGACGTTGAATTTGTTCATGTACAATTTTTCCTCAATTGTTTTGACGATCACCTAATCATTGAATGTACCATCATTGTAGTTTTCTTCAACAATTATAATGATGTTTTTGGGTGTATGATAAATTGACATTCATCATACAGGGCGTGGAAAGAAATTCTGAATTGAGACTCTATCACGAATCTGCGATTAGAAGTCTATAAAAATCACAAGTTTCCATCGTTCAAGTTTGAACCCCCTGATTGGGTATGAAAGTGTTGAAAAGGAATATTCTCAGATAAATTATGAACATACAAAAATGGATATATATTTATATAAAGCAATACATTAAGAATTCGCATTCTCTATGTGCATATAGCCAGGAAAGTAGTTGTTTTCTATTGAATCAACTGAGAAAGAGTAAATATTCTCATCACATAGAGAATGCGAATTCTCAATGTAATGCTTTATATAAATATATATATATATCCATTTTTGTATGTTCATAATTTATCTGAGAATATTCCTTTTCAACACTATAATGATGTTGTTGATTAAACACATTTTTTTGTCCATTCAACCCATACTATTTCTTTGAGTGTAAGTACCATGGAACGTCCATGGTAAGTACCCAATTTTGACGAAAGGATCATAATCTCCTGCACCGAAAATCCCCAGTCTTGAATTTCCTAATTTTGACGAAAGAATCATAATCTCCGACCCTGAAAACCCTAAGATACCACAGGAAGGAAAGAATGCTCGAAGTCATCTCCACAAATTTGTGGAGATGACTTCGAGCATTCCTTCCTTCCTGTGAAATATTTCACTCCTTTGAGCAATATGGACTTCTACCAAAGATTTCCTAAGATACCAATTTTGAATAGAATCGGATCATAATTATAAAACTTGTCCACCATATTGGATCCGCCATTTTTAATTTACCAATTTTGACGAAAGAATCACATTCTCCGACCTCGAAAACCTCCATATACCAATTTTGAATAGAAACGTATCATAATTACAAATGTAAAAACTTCACAAACGATAATTACAAAACTCCTCCGCCATATTGAATCTGCCATCTTGAAAAGTGTTGAAATAATAATAAAAAAGGAAAAAGACAAAGTCAAAAAAACCAAGAGGATCCTAGATAATGGATAATGCGAGGGATGATGTAATCCGCTCTGACAAATCGAACCAAATAAATTGAATAATGGAAGCTGCTCTAATTCGATTAATTTAAAGATAAGGCCAGACGGGAACACATAATTATACAAGATGGAAACCAGAACTGAAACAAAGATACAATTAAAAAATTAAAAAAATTATTGTTCAAATTCAATTTCCATAATGATCCAACAAACTAACGTCAAAAAAGCGAAGTGACCCTTTTTTCATTTTCTTGCATTACCACGATACCGTGCGCCAAATAGTGTGTAAAGTAAAATAATACAGTGTGCGAACAACGTACTGTATGTACAGTGTGTCCAGTTTTCGATGCTTTCAAGTGATATCTCAGTTTTCTTTGGAGATAGAACCTTGCGGTTTACGCGGTCCTGTGCCACTTTTTTGTGAAACTCAAGATGGCCTAATCAGATTTTGCATAACTGTTTCCGTTCCTGTAGATATGAAAATAATTTTAGGTGATAGTTCTCATGAAACCCTATAACTGTTGTATTTGTATTTTTTCTGTATATCTGACGGTTTGGCCAATATCGAAGGAGAACACACTATTGACTCACCCTGTATATCCCTGTTAGGTTTGAGTTAAAAATCATATTACACATACAATGTTGGCACCTGCATAACTGAAGAGCTTGCTCTTCATTTTCAATACTTCACGTTTCCATTATATACCCAGTTTGAAATTATAGACAAAAAGGACCCGAAGACAATTTTATCTGACTATTTCACGAATCCTCGAATACGAAATGGCTTTCACTTCTCTCATTGCCCTGTGCACCTCTTCTTCCTCATTGCTCTGGAGCCGGTTCATCATTTCGCAGAAAATGGTGTCCACGTCGTTCTTGTTGCCTCCGATTATGAAAGGAAACCCGTACTTGTCCTTATACCGGGCGTTCAGCTCCAGGAGCCGCCTTCTCTCGGCAGTGTCCAGGCGGCTAGTGCCGCTGATATTTTCCGCTATCTCTTTTTCAGATATCAACGGAGAGTGGATGAGGCTGCCTATGATATCCGGGTACTGCTGGAGAATCAATTCTCTTTCTGGAACAGAAACTTCTTTTATACCTTCAGATGATTTTTTCATTAAATAAGTTCTATGTCGATCGATAAAGTCCAAGGTTCCTATTTTCAAAATGAAGCGATTTCCAATTTTTGGGGCGGCAAACGGTGACGTACATTCTGAATCTAGTCTGAGTATAGCTGATGATGTACAGGGTATCCCAATTTGGGCACTTTTGCGGGGTATCTCCCTTATCAGTAAAGATAGAGCATTGCGGTTTTCGCGACAGTGTGCTACTTTTTTATGAAATTAATAATGGCGCAAGCAGAATTGTGATAGCTCTTCCGGTTGTCGAGATACAGGGTGGAATTGAAAAATATCACTTTTCAGGCACCCTCCGTGTCTCAGTTATCTTTGAACTTATCGAAGAAGTCTAAACTTGTTTTTATAGAGTTTTTCTCGTAGAATCCAGTGGCGTAGTTATTTTTTTGCTAGCACCTTTTGTTTTTTAGTTATGGAGCAAACATATGTTTTTTTAAATGGAAAATAATTGTATACAATTATATATTTTTGGAAAGCCCACTTCATGCTCAATGTATATATGAAATACTATACAGGGTGTTCCATTTAAAAAAGCATATGTTTGCTCCATAACTGAAAAACAAAAGGTGCTAGCAAAAAAATAACTACGCCACTGGATTTTACGAGAAAAACTCTATAAAAACAAGTTTAGACTTCTTCGATAAGTTCAAAGATAACTGAGACACGGAGGGTGTCTGAAAAGTGATATTTTTCAATTCCACCCTGTATCTCGACAACCGGAAGAGCTATCACAATTCTGCTTGCGCCATTATTAATTTCATAAAAAAGTAGCACACTGTCGCGAAAACCGCAATGCTCTATCTTTACTGATAAGGGAGATACCCCGCAAAAGTGCCCAAATTGGGATACCCTGTACAGGGTGGCCAACTAAGACTCCAGAGTTCGATTTCTCTGTTGTCTTGAGAGATACAGAAAAAATTCATGAATCAAAATTCAAGTAATAACCGAGCTTCACATTTTAAAATTTCTTTGAAATATACAGGGTGTTCCGTAAGGTCACAGCACATCAAAGCTATGTTTTTTTCATGGGAACACCCTTTATTATATTTCATTTTTGAATTATCCCTGAAGATCTGATTTTAACGACCCATCATACTTTGGGTCTAGCAGTGAAAGTTACTGACATATAGGGTGTGCAAAATCGAGATTTTTCAAGTTCAGGATTTTTTTCTGTCGAAACTGTTCATTATTCGTCAAAACGGTTTACATGTCCCTATCTCAACTTTTCACTCACTATCAATTGGTGTTCAATTGAAATTGATACAAGGTGGTCAAAAAATCTAAATTTTTAATTTGTTTCAATTAAATGTCAATTGAACACCAATTGATAGTGAGTGAAAAGTTGAGATAGGGACATGTAAACCGTTTTGACGAATAATGAACAGTTTCGACAGAAAAAAATCCTGAACTTGGAAAATCTCGATTTTGCACACCCTATTATGTCAGTAACTTTCACTGCTAGACCCTAAGTATGATACGTCGTTGAAATCAGATCTTCAGGGAGAATTCAAAAATGAAATGAAATATAGGGTGTTCCAATGAAAAAAACATAGCTTTGATGTGCTGTGACCTTACGGAACACCCTGTGTATTCCAAAGAAATTTTGAAATGTGAAGCTGGATTATTAATTCAATTTTGATACTTGACTTTTTTTTGTATCTCTCAAGACAACAGAGAAATCGAACTCTGGAGTCTTAGTTGGCCACCCTGTACAATGAAGATAGCGAATGGCATTGATGGAAATGAGTATGGTGTACTTACACTACTTACTGATGGGCTCTTGTTTCAGAAATTCTTCTCGACCTCTCGCGTGTCCCGAGAACAATGTTTTCAGCGGTTTTCAGATAGATGGCGACATTGCACAATTATGAAATCTGTCAATTTTTAAATTGCCGCAGATTTTTCGAATTCAGAGTTAAATAATCCCACTGTTACATAAGTTCCGCGTACTTAAAATAGCCATTTGCCATTTTATTTCCACTCGTCACAGCAGCAATAGCAGCATTACCATCTAGCGGAAAAATGTATAATCAACGTCTCGCCCAATGTGACGTAGAGAAATCATTGCTGCTATGACGAGTGGAAATAAATAGGCAAATGGCATTTTAGGCACGCGGAACATATGTAACAGTGAATTCGAAAAATTTGCTGCAATTTGAAAAATTGACCGTTGTCTTAATTGTGCAATGTCGCCATCTATTAGAAGATAGACGGAACCATTACTCTCGCTGTTCTCGAGAGATCGAGTAAAATTTCTGAAACAAAAGCGCAACAGTAATTACACCATATCTTACTTCCATCATTTTTCCATCATTCGAATGAATGAAAAACGAATAAAAATGGAAGAAGACAACTTGGCGTCGTTATTGATTATATCATGAAAAATAACGAACTAACAAAACAACTTTAAACTGTAGACTGGGTAACGAATAACTGGAGATCAAATATCGATACAAGTAAAACTGATAAACAAAAACATACATAGCCACAAAATCAGATCATAGCTTTCGGGGTGACTGTCAGTATTTTGTGTGGTGTGGACGCAGTGGACGGCTTCAAAGTACTATACGCGCTGTTGCAAGATATGATCTGCAACTTTCCTAGAAAATAGGTCCGTTTCAATCGTTTTATAGAGAAACGATTCATTTTAAAAAAATGACTGACAAGATATGATTATCATTTTGTTATATAACGAAAGTGAAAAATTATAGCAACTATTGGAAAATATCATAATTTAACTTCATTAGTAATCAACTTCATCCAGCAAATGAGAGATTTATGAAAATTATTCATAATACTGAAGTAGAATCAAAAAAACATATTACATCCCATTGCTGTTATGATATACACTCACCGGCAAACAAAAACCGACCAGCAAAAAAATATGCCAAATTGATCGCCCTGTCACTTTTTTCAATTCTCCGATTTTGGTGAAATTTCGACGGGATGTAAATTAAATATTAGGCAAAAAATAAGGTGTAAATTCGGTACCAGGGGGCTCAGTAAGTAATAACATAAGAAAGGAGAATAATTTCCCAAACAGTCTGACCTAACTCGGCCTAAAATATTACATATGTATATAAATATATGAGGAAGGAAAATATCCTTTCTGCATAAGAAGGAGACTGCTTTTTTAAACAATCTGACCTAACTCGGCCTAATATATTATATAGGTATAGAGATATAGCAAAAATGCACTCTATGACCAAGTGATGCTATCTTCAGTGATATACACTGCTCACCAACAGCCATGGAACCACCCCGATTTCCGGAAAATGATATTAGGAGTCAAAATAGGTTGAAAATCACTTCGGATTCGGAATCAGGACGCCCAATTCTGGAAATATTAATTCTTTCTCGTTATACGGGTATATTCAACAGAAAACAACTGTATGATAAATATCAATTTATCAAACATCCAAAAACTTTCGGGAAAAAACTTCTTCTCGACTATAAGTTGGCGTTTTCAAATTTGAAACCCGACGATTCGTCTTCCACAAACCTGGACCTGGATTTTTCATTCCATATTTCCACAACTTTGGATATCCCTAAAGCTATAAGCTATCACAAATTTCTATTGTCGAATGTTTTGTTCACAAAAATTGCCAGTTTCATATTGGATATTGAAAAAATACAGAAAATGTCAATATTTTTTCTCTCTTGGAGCGTACGATAGGAAATTCGTATAATGTTCGTGGAACATCGCTCGTGCTAAACAAAACATTCAAAAATAAAAATTAAAAAAATCCAGGACCGTATTTTGAAAAAATAAGTTGATGAAGGATTCTGGGAGACGAAACGTCGGATTTCAAATTCGAAAACGCCAACTTGTAGGAAAGGAAAAGTGGCCACGATAAAGTGTCATTCATTTCGATCAATTTCTTCAAATTACTTGAGACAAATAAAAAGAATTTCAGGAAATTCCGTATTTCCGTATATCTCCGAAAGTATCCGGAATTTCATAAGTTTCCAAACGACATTTTGTTAGGCATAAAATTGCACAACTTTGCCATAAGTTGACCTACCCTTTATCTCTTACGGCTCACGAGGTCCCAATGATGAGGCTCGAATTCCACCTACCCTGTATATAACGGTTTGTTTGTAAGTATAAGTTTGTATAGTGATGGATCAAAGGCTGTTGAGTACGAAAACCATGACCTGGCAGGCCTCACCCTTGCACGTCACCATCCCCCATAAGTGTAAGAATAATTTAAAAAATAAACTTTGCGTTGTACACTTGTAATCTTATTATGATCCTAATTAGGTATTGCAGAATATAGAAAAAAATTGACAGGCGATTCTGATGTGCACAAGTAGTTGCCAGGCGTGTCAAAAGTGCGCAAAAGAGGACTGAAAATAAACTTCGCTCTGTAAGATTGAAATTCACACACATGTTTAACTAAGGTATTTAGAGCATATGTATGCAATGGCAGGCGATTCTGGCCAGCAGAAGTACTTGACAGGCGAGAAAGAAGGTGCTACAATTTTAAGTCGGTTGCGATCTTCGTATGTTACGTTTAGGGGGCTGTGGTGAGTAAATTCTGATCTGTCAGTTATGTATGCGAATATGTCATCTCAGTATACATTTATCCAGTTCATTGTTGAAGTTAATAACATAGTTGTAAAAATGGAATCAGAATACGGTTTTTGTGTGATTTTTGGAAAATACTATTGAAAAAATTGTGACATTCACCACAACCACTTTGAATAAGAGCAAAACAATATCAGAAAAAATCATAATTGAAATTGATGAATTTTTCCTCTGAAATGAGGAAAAAAATCAGAGCCGGTCATGAGGTTCATGAGATCCGTGTACAACGATATTTCTTTGGGCGTCTACTAGTACTTTCAATGCAATATGACATCAATATACAAAAATAATAATATTATCAATGCATATTTGAGTTTAACAGATATGGTTTATTTTTAGATGAAGACTCCAGTGAAGAGTCGGATGATGAAGAATATTAAATTTCAGAAATTGTCATAGATAAATAAGTTACATTAGTGGATGGGACATGTTTTTTCCAAAATTTTCATTTTTATCTTCTATCTCTCGCGCTGAAACGTATACTCGTATAGCACCTTCTTCCTCGCCTGTCAGGTACTTCTGCTGGCAAGAATCGCCTGTCATTGCACATGTATGCTCTAAATACCTTGGTTAAACATGTGTGTGAATTTCAATCTTACAGAGCGAAGTTTATTTTCAGTCCTCTCTTGCGCACTTTTGGACTCGCCTGGCACCTAATTCTGCTCATCAGAATCGCCTTTTTTTATATATTCTGCAATATCTAAATAGGATCATAATAAAATTACAAGTTTACAGCGCCAAGTTTATTTTTTAAATTATTAAACATATGGGGGATGGTGACGTGCAAGGGTGAGACCTGCCAGGTCATGGTTTTCGTACTTAACAGCCATTGATCCATCACTTTACAAATTTCTAGCCTTACAGACAAACCGTTGTATAAAAGGTTTACGAGCTCTCCAGCTTTACTCAAAACTCACCGTTCTGTTTTAGAGTATCCAAAAACTCTGAGACTGCTCTCGCTATAGCCTCGATACTTTCGAAAGGTCTGTACTTCAAAATCCCGATGGCCGCAGCAGGGTAATGTTCAACCACATTCATGAATATCCTGACGAAACTCTCACTTTGTAAATTGTTCACTTCCTCGATTGACAGTTGATGAGTCACAAACATTTTCAACAATTTGCTGGACTATCGGACATCTGTAAGTTGCCAAACAAAGCTAAAAAATGTATTAATAAGGAATCTGAATAGTTATTTCGGCATCTGAATAGCCATCTTCAGCAAACTCGCGAGTTTTTTTGTGGGGATCCAAAAATTATTAGTTTAGAAGCATTATTTTCATTCATGACTCCATGTTTACTTCTGATACATTTGTATTGAAAACGATAAAATAATAAGAACTACGAATTTATGTCATTATAATGGTGGGTTCAATGAACCAACGTTTATATCTATTCCACTCAGTTTCAATCTCTATAGTTGATTATACAAAGTAGATAATTTCAGTTCATATATACTATTTATCACACAATAACAAACAATACTTTGATCTTATTCCTATGCTATTACATAGCAATCTTCTCCGTACTTACTCCTCCCAAAAGTATCGAAAATGACTTGCCTATAAAAAAAACTAATTATTAGCACAGTATTTAAGCCGTATGAATTAACGCACTAGCACTACACACTGCAGGTGAAATTTTCACTTCTACCGACAAAACTGATGGACTTGTTAGTGATCCAAGACTAAATATATCTACCCTCCGAAATGCATCAACAATATTTTTTCTTCGGTTAAGTATTTGAAGCGATAACTTATTGGCTTCTACAGACACGAAAACAACAAATAACAAATAATGTGTGAAAAGTGCATTGGCGTCGCTAAGGGGCCAGGCTCTTCAGCAATGATAATAAAAACAATAATAACAAGACTATTTCTCACTCCTGCCGTTTTCAACAGAATGTTTTCTGTGTAACACTATTGAAAGTGAAACAGGAGAATCTGATTAACCAAGTTGGATTTTTGGATCAGAAGGTGATTTTGGATATATCTACTTATATTTATGCACAGCACCCATGTAAATATGTAAATGGAATTTATGTCTGTGACAAAATTAATACTCAGCTGGAAATGTGTTTCCTGCATTTAGAAAAAAGTTGAAAAGTTTTAAATAAATATATTAAAATATATTACTGAATCGAATATACATATACAAAAAATACAAAAGAATATAAAGAAGATTAATCCATTGACTTTTCATTCTTCTCTTGTCAAAAATAAATTTGGATAGAATCTCAACCCCTCTATTGCATCATCCCTACAGCATTTTCCAAACTTCTCAGCTGTCAGCAATCTCTCTTTTGCTAGAGTTAGTGAAATTCCTAAAGATTTAGATAGCTCTTCAGAAGACAGAGACCCTTTTTCATCAACCTAAAAAAAAATATATGTGAAGACTGGAAGGAAATATATTATAGTTATTTTTGTATCTATTGCCTGAAATGCTACAAAAACTAGAGAAATAAGAATTTCTAGTCAAAATTTGAACAAATCAAGATTGCAATTCCAAGATGGCAGAAGAGGTCATTCCTCTTCCTATTTGACTGAATATTTACATCAGGGAGTTTCTGAGTATGAGGAACAAGAATTTCCAGTCATGATTTGAAAATTCAAGATGACATCTTCAAAATGTTTCCATTATTCCTCTGACCCGACTGAAAATTTATATTGCAGGGTAATCTCTTACCAGTTGTGCAGTTGCTTCTGCCACTGTACTACTATCCAGACTGCTCAACTGGAGCACCTTCACCCCTGATGAAAACTCAAACAGCTTCAAGGGCAAATCTAGGGCCTGCATAAGCTTGCAAGCATTCAGAATATCTTCTGGTGATAACAATTCCAAACTTCTTGATCTGTTAACCCAGCAAAAAACGTCCGACATAGCCATCATTCCCCCCATTTCTTCAATGTGTGACAGTAAAAAGTCACAAATTTGCTTGGCTAGGCTCTGATAATATTGGTTGTCAGATTTATAAGAGTCTCTGGTAACAGGGTCATCTATTCCAAGACTGAGTAGGTAGGATTTGAACCTAGGAAATGAGTCTCATATGTAATAAGAAAAATATTTGAATGAGAATGCAGAAGTTTCAGTCCAAAGTATTATTATTGAATTATTATTCAACTACCTAGTACCTATTAGGTTTTTAATCTTCAATATTAATTTTAATTTAAAATTATTAATGTGACATTTGGGGATATTTGTCCTATGGGTTTCTTGACTTATTTCCTTGTGGTTACAGTGAATCATTCCCTGACTGAACTCAAGCCTCTACACTTTTATGGTGAAAAATAATCATCAAAAAACATGCATCCCAACAGATCATGTGATGGGAATGGTTAGAAAGATTCAAGCACATCTAAACCACTGTTGCTAGAATTCTTGGAAAAAATAAATTATCTCTTCAACCTTTCAACAGAAATTCAAACTGGAATAGACAACCTCAAAACCAAGTTGTCAGCATCATTCTTATTTTGAATATACATCATCAATTATTATGTATTCAGTTATATGGTTTCAAGAAATAATCCAATTTCCACCCATACTATTTCTTGAATATGAGGTTGAATATCTATCAGGTACCATTGCTAACTATATGATGTTAGAGCAATGATGATAATTCTCATTTCATCAGGTATTTCCAGAATCATTAGATTTACCCATAAATCTTGTAATGCTGTACTGGTGTAAAACAATTTGCATTTTTAGCTGTGCCTACATGGCTTTTCTAAGTAGTACCTCATGAGAATGGTGGAAAAGCTGAAACTCTTCAGGAATTTATTCTCAACTCAAATTTAATCCCATGAAAATAATAAAAAATATGTGTTCAATGAATTCTCATCAACAATACAGAAGAATGAAATTTTTAATGTTGGACATTTGCTCATTGTAAGTACTCACCTTATTGTTTCATCCTCTGTAATATCTCCTTGCTTCTCCTTGATCTTTGTAGATATCATTCTAGATAACCTTACCATGTCTTTTGCCATATCCATGAGTTTATCCAAGTCCTGGAAAGCCATGTTTATACTTGCATCTGTGGCTTTCTGTTTTTCTTGTATGCTCCTTTCAATGCCCACAATTCCCATTCTGGGTTTTATCAATGGTTGTTGGGGTTTGTTTTCAACAGGGGGTTGCTGAATTTTGGGTTCCCAAGGTCTATCTTGAAGCAAGTCATGTAGAATACTTGTTATGTTTTTGGTGAAGCCTTCACGGAATGACAGCTTGATGAAATTGAACATGCTGTAAGGTTGAGGACCATTTGATGTGTCTGAAAATCACCAACAAAGTGATGATTTGTGATGGTTGCAGAACAGTATTCTGACAGAAGGTCAAAATTATAGCTACTGACCATTTATTTCAGATAGATGGAGAACGATTTTTCGAGATCTAGTAAAGCTGAAAGTACTAGGTGATTCCTCTTCTATGAATATGATCAGGTTCAAAGCCATGGATAAACATGTTTGTCCTCTGGCTATTTGACCTGGACGTCCCCATAATATCCTGTGTGTTGTGATGATTAGTTCTCCACCTTCAAATGATGTCTGAAATCCAATTAATATAGTTTGAATGAGTGATTGATATTACCCTTGATTATAGTGTGAATATTCAATGATATTACAATACCTACCTTTTGATCCCCATCATATATTCTGACGTTATTTTCAACAACCACTGTAGATTCGCCGTCCAACAGGAGAGGGCTAGTATATTTTATACGGTTCATCAATATTAATTTATTAAGGGCTTATAGATGATCATACAGTATGATCTAAGATTAAAGGGATTGAAAATTCAAAATATCACTGACATAACCCTGTTTTTAGTTCTTCTTCTTTATAGGTCGCGTGCAAGAACTGTCAGATGACCGACCCTGGAGGCAAAACATATTTGTTTACAAGTGATAGAAATAGTTTTCCACAATTATTTTGGCATATGAATCGTATTTTTCCGCTATTCATCAATTCGCTAATGCCATCACATTGTGCTGTTGTAAAATGCACAAAAACTGCAGCGGAAGATGAAGAAATCCGGATGGTACATTATGATTCAAAAGTAAGTACCTACTATAGTCACTCACATAGTTTTCATTTTTGAAATTTGGTTATTTCTCTGATTTCTCATCGGAATTCCTTCTGCAATATGATCAGCTAATAGAAATTTACCTGAAATTTCTAGAATAATGCAAGTAGATTGGATTCATGCAATCAATCGGTAGGACTGGTCTGACATGCTGACGATCGTGTGTGTTGTAGACATTTTCAATCTATTAGCAGCATTAGCTTGTATTGCAGAAGTGGCAGAAGGCAGAAGGAATTTTAATAAGGAATGACAACATTTCATAATGCTAACTATGTGAGGTTACTATTTACCTGAAAAATCATATTCCCTAGTCTCTTGCTGCATTTTTTGTGCATTGTACAACAGCACAATGCGAAGGCATGCTTGAATTGATGAATAACGCAAGAAACACGACTCGTATGCCAAAATATTGTGAAAAACTATTTCAACCTTTTGATTCCTCTGTAACCAAATAAAAAAGTGAGGTTGTGTTTCAATAATTCACAGAAGAATGAGGTTGTGTTTCAATAATTCACAGAAGAATGAGGTTGTGTTTCAATATTTTGCCTCCAGGGTCGGTCTTCGTGCACGCGACCTATTGGCCTCTTGTCCCGTGAAGACATCCAGCCATGTTGTGTTTCGAAATTCTTCTTGTTTTTGAAGAGTGCACCAGGTGCATCTAGGTTGTAGCCATAGAAATCATATTATATATTCAGTATATATGTACAATGATATGATTTCTAATTTCTATGGTTGTAGCCCACTTCAAATGTTTGAAGGGGTTAAGGTACAATACGAAAACAAAGGTAATTTTTTAACTCTTCTTGTTCTGTCGCGTATCCAGAACGTTTCACAGAGGCCCTGTTTTTAGCGTTTTTCAAGTATCGATTAAGTTTCAGATTCAGACTAAAAAAAAATAGTCTGATGGCCTTTGTAAGATTGTAAGGTATATGTCTCATGATCGGCATGTCCGACATTAGAATTTTCAGTTGGAGAAGAGGTTTAAGAAAAAGAAGAATGTAATGTCAGTTGCTGTCAATTGTTGTCATTTGTCAAAAGTTCGGAAAACCTCAAAATCTTAAAAAAAAACATCAACGTGTAGGTTTCACTGAATTTATTTCGAAATAAGGAAAAATATGGTTTATCATAAAATGTTTCAATAAAATAAACCACAACATGTAGTAAGTTGACAAAAATCCACTTTATTTCAATATCATTAAATGTTTATTTCGTAGGTGACTGGTAATCTACATTCCACATCAAACGAAATTACATTTATCCTTTTTTGTACAGTTTTTCTTTGTGATTCATTGAAAAATGTCTTGCTCAGCCATATACATTCTTGATGTGAAGGGAAAAGTCTTGATTTCTCGTAACTATAGGGGTGACATTGATATGAGTGTTATAGACAAATTCATGCCTCTGCTAATGGAGAAGGAGGAAGAGGGTTTACTAACACCAATCATACAAACCGTGGACTGTACTTTTGCCTATATCAAAACAAATAATCTTTATCTTGTAAGTACTACGAAAAAAAATGCAAATATTGCCCTAGTCTTTGTCTTTTTGCACAAATTGGTGCAAGTAATGGCAGAATATTTCAAAGAATTAGAAGAGGAGAGTATAAGAGATAATTTTGTTGTTATTTATGAACTACTTGACGAGCTTCTAGATTTTGGGTATCCCCAAACAACAGACAGCAAGATTCTCCAAGAATACATAACCCAAGAAGGACATAAACTAGAAATACAACCTCGCATTCCTGTAGCTGTGACTAATGCAGTTTCCTGGCGTTCAGAAGGCATTAAATACAGAAAAAATGAGGTGTTTCTGGATGTTATTGAATCTGTCAACCTACTAGCTAATTCAAATGGCAATGTACTTCGTAGTGAGATTGTGGGGGCAATAAAAATGAGGGTTTATCTCTCTGGAATGCCTGAATTGAGGTTAGGTTTGAATGACAAAGTCCTGTTTGAAAGCACAGGGCGTGGCAAGTCTAAATCTGTAGAACTAGAGGATGTTAAGTTTCACCAATGTGTGAGATTGTCCAGATTTGAAATTGATAGGACTATATCTTTCATCCCCCCAGATGGTGAATTTGAGCTGATGTCCTACCGTTTGAACACCCATGTCAAACCCCTGATATGGATAGAGTCAGTTATAGAGCGGCATGCTCATAGCAGGGTAGAGTACATGATAAAAGCAAAATCTCAGTTCAAAAGGCGGTCAACAGCTAATAATGTTGAAATTGTCATTCCTGTTCCACATGATGCTGACTCACCTAAGTTCAAGACTACCATAGGCACTGTGAAGTATGCTCCTGAGCAAAATTCTGTTAACTGGACAATTAAGTCTTTCCCAGGGGGTAAGGAGTACCTCATGAGGGCCCACTTTGGATTACCTAGTGTGGAGTGTGAAGACAGTGAAGGAAAACCACCTATCCAAGTTAAATTTGAGATTCCCTACTTTACCACTTCAGGGATTCAAGTCAGATATTTGAAGATCATAGAGAAAAGCGGGTACCAAGCTTTGCCTTGGGTAAGGTATATAACACAAAATGGGGACTACCAGCTCCGTACCAACTAGCTCTGGAAATTGTAGTTATTTCCCTTAGGTTATTATCAATTATTGCTTGAAATTTTTTAAGTCACTTTTATTCCCTCCCTCTTTATTGTATTGTTGAAAAAAACTTTATTCAAGTATTATTATAATATAAAAGTATTTTAATACAATATTAACAAGCTAGTTGTTTCATTTTCTTTAAATTGTTTTATCAGTGCATGTTGGTTTACTTACTTCAACTGCATATTGATCATTTTTCATAACTTTGTACATTGACTCAATTGACAACATACCTTAGGAATGGGGCAAATTGGTGAAGAAGAAAAACCCAAAAAATCAAAACTAATCAATAATAATTTATGTTTCACTTTGATCTCTCTGAAGTTATGTTACTACGTGGTTACTAGATTTGGTAACCTAATATATATGTTACTAGATCTGGTCACCTAACATAAGATGTTACTAGATCTTATTACCTAACAAAATATATGTTACTAAGATCTGGTCACCTAACATGAGATATTTTACCCTAATTTGCAGTGTTGTCAACGGAAACTGTGAAAATCCCACATTCCATGAAAAAAATTTCCCGCCACATTCAAATTTATTGAATAATCTGTCGGAATTTATTTCGAAAAATCATGATACGCATAATCTATCGATATGAAGAGAAGTTATCCTAATTTTAATGATATGACGCCGAAAATCAAAATCTTTTCAACATATTTTTTCAAAATAAAAATTTGTAGATATAAAAATTCACAAACACAGTACCATAGATTGACCATAGATTACTGAATGACTTAGACGGACGAGGACGGACGAAGGACGGAAAGTGAAGGATGGAAAATTTGAAATAAGCAATGAATGTAAACAACGAAATCATATTGTCGTATTATTTTTTCCCTACGTCGGCAGGACATTGGCAAAAATTCCATTCTCGATCCTCAGGGACATGCACGATTTCCCGCATATTTCCCGGAAAATGATTTCTCCCACCAAAAACCCCGCATGCGTTCGGATTTCCCAAAATGCAAGAAATTTCACGCCAATTTTGCAACACTGGTAATTTGAGATAATGACTCGACCAATGATTGTACTCGACCTGCTGGGTTGGTAAAACTGGTGACATGACATGAATTTTGATCATTTTTTCAAAATCTAGGTTATGTTATGGCTTTCAAATTTGGTTTCAACCAGAGAAAAACAACTTGATGATTTTTCGGTGATACTTGAATTTGCCAAAAATGTCTTCACTCCTACTGTCTCTTCCAGAACTTTTCAAGTCCTATCAGGCTTGGGTTAGAAAAAATCCACAGTCTTTGGGTGACTGGGAAAATTCAGCAAAATGGATTTCCTACTTCATAGCAGGTAATATCAATTTCTGGTATGTTTTTAAAATTACTAATGATGTTATGTTAATAGGCAGAATCAACAATTCTCATGTTGTATCTGAGCTTGTCTACTGTCTATCAAATCTACTAGTTTTCTTCAATGACCAAATAATTAAAAATACTCATCATATTCATTCAAGAGGTACAGTGGAAAAAATAAAGCTGTGGTTGACCGTCATAGAATATTCTGAGGTATTCTGTGAACTTTCTGCTAGTAAACTCTGGGGAGCAACTGGAAAGTGGATGATCATCATATGCATACAAGTTTTTAAGTACTATTGCAACATTTTGAGGCACACACTGTAAGGCTCACTGCAAATTTCTCTTTCCAGATGCATATCCAGATTGTTTCTTGTGTTTCACTACAAAGAACCTATAATTCAGAGCCCCCCTATACCAGTTTTGGATAGGAAGAATGTAAATAACACAGAATCAAACAACCCAGTGAATGGTAATGCACCTGAACAATTTGAGTCAGTTTCATTCACTCTAAAACAGTCAGGAAGAGTTGTTCGTAAAGTTGATTCATCCCCTCCAATAGGTAAGTCAATTTTGTTGAAATTGAGGAAATATAATGATATTACTATCACTTGTGATTTATTCATGAATGGTATACCATCTATTTATATCTATAATAGATATTGTAAAATCTAAACAGATTGTTTCTAGCCATGAGAAATTGGAAGCCATTGGAAAAAAGTCCAAGTTTTAGTTGTGAAAACAACCAAAGCATTGATCAAGCAATAGCTAAGAGACAGCTTATTGCTGAGACTGTATATATTGCTAAACCTATAGTGCATTTGGCTTCCTCAGCTTTTTTTGGAACTAACACATGGAAACCCTGGTTGATTGCTTTAGCTATGGATATGACTAGGCAAGTACTTTCAATGTAGTTATACATTTAAATTTGATACTATCAATGCATTATGCATTTTTCTGAATTCTATACCCAAGGAGACCCCAAAATAATATTAATTATATTATATGGACCAGAATCTAGATAGTCATCAAACATTTTAGAGATGATTCAAAAAATAGATGAAACAATCAGCTATTAACATCAATAATTTCATCTATTGAATATTACAAATTGACAGGAATAATAATAAAATTTCCATCTACATATATCATCATATGTGAGATATACCCAATTATTACTATATCAAAACTGAAATCACCTGTATTAAAGAAGGATGATGAAACTATTATAATTGCCTTTTTATAGTATGGAACTCTACCGCTCCTGTAAGGTTAAAAATATCACCTCTCTATCAACACAGCAACGCATGCAGATATCCAGGAGAACATTGGTTCTCATCTTGTACCTGTTGAGGTCCCCCGTATATGAGAGATACAGTAAAGACAGGGTGAACACATTATTACTTGCTCTCAGCAAGATCCCACTGGCCAGCATGATTTGCACCCCATTGGCGCAATATCTGCCTTTCTGGCAGAGCACATATTTTTATATGTGGTCATCATAGTGTGTAACAGTTATAGGTTAGGTATATAAATGGTGAAGTTGAGGGAATACATTGTTTTTATATATTTATAATTGTTTATAATAAGTGGTTGAAATGTTTTGCATAGCCTTGTCCAAAAAAATTGTCCTCTGTATTTTATACAACAATAATGCTCTAGGGATATGGGAATGAAGGTTTTTTTTTTCCAACTCAGGTTAGAATCAATATGGTGCTTGGTTGGCACCTTATATAAAATTGCTAGAATGATGTTACTAGAACAATTGAATAGTTACTGTTTGTGATTTTCTGTGTTTATTTTCTTCCTATGATTTCAAACCAATCAGAATGTTCAATTATTGAGCTAAGCTACCTTGTATAATTTCAAATATATGTGGATATACATAGAGTAGTTCCACCATTCAGAAATTTAGATTTATTTTCATTTCCAATTTTGACGTTCTTTCAGAACTACTAAAAAAAAATACATCATATACAATTCCAACTTCAAAATCTTCAAGGTTAACTCGCGAGATTCACGAAGTGGGCGACATCTAGGTTACATAATACAAACTTCAAACTGGGGAAAAACAAACTATTGTCTATGGATAAAGTACATAGACTACATTGCATACATCTTGCTGTAATTGTCAAACTTGTCAATGACATAAAGTGTTATCACTCTTATCAGTACACAAGCTAATGGCACTAATGGGATTGAGTGAGGATTGAGTTCGTTTTCCCCCAGTTTTGACGTGACTTTGACATGGAACGATGAAAACCGAGCGCCACCTGGTGACATTGATTCCCGCGAATACATCTTCAAGTTCCTGCATAATTACAAATTGTGTCAGTTCAACAGAATCCACACGCTCCGCGGTCGGATTTTTCCATCTGTTAAACTGACACTCTTTGTAATTATGCAACAAGTTATCAATGTATAAGCGGAATGTTTTGAAGTTCTTATAGTATTACTACTAATTATATGACTTGTACTTCTGATACCAACAGGAATTCGCATATATAAAAACGATTCATCACAGATAAATATTTTCATTGTGTGCCAACCAGCACATAGTTTGACAGATCATTGGATTTCAGTTCATAATCTAGAATCTAGATAGATGATCCAAAAATTATGTAACTATAAGTATACAGGGTGTTTCAAAAAAACCTGACCCCCTTGCTAGGGTAGGTAGATCACTGCAAAATAAGTTGGGTTTGCTCAGTGAAAAAATGTCGTAACGGCATCTGTTTTCAAGATACAAGGTGTTGAAAAAATTATTTTTTTACACATTTTTCACGATTATGTCGAAACTACTGGCAACATTGTGATGAAATTTTGTATGAGTGTTCCTTGAAATCTGACACATCACATGAATTTGTTTTTATATCTGACTTTCATAGAGGGCGCGAGTTACACGTTTCGTACCGAGTAGTTTAGATCATAACTTTTTTGAGGTTAGATTTTTCAATCCAAATATGATATGAACTTGAACATCATTCAATTTTACATCAAAAAGGTACACTTGGTGAAACTCGATACAATGTTCCGTTTTCGGAATATTTCGATTTGAAAATAATGGAGCAATAGCTATGCTGGTATAAAATGAATATTATTGAGTTCAATTACCTATTTATTCAGATTCAAAAACAATAAAATCATTCTTGCACTGGAGTTATTGATGGAACAATGAGTCATAAGTAGTAAATTAACAGATATTTGACTAGAAACATGAAATATTGAATCAGTTCGGCTTCGTGGTCGAGTTTGTCTATGCGCTGAAATTCGCTAGATAGCCGTTCACGATGCAGAGGTACTGTCGGTTCGAATCCGGCTATCGGCTGAGCATTTTTCTTTAAAATGTGTGATTCATGGTTGTAATCCTGGCAGCACCTCGATGCCCTAGAAGTGGTTCGGATTCCACTATAAGCTGTAGGTCCCGCTCTTCCTAACCCCGCACAAGTTTCGACTTCTGGGGAGTTGGTTCCCAACTTTGAAGTAGCGATATACAAATTTTACAAAATTTTTTTTTTAGTTAGTGTAAGTGTTCAAAATGTCCTACGTTTCGACAATACACGATTCTAATTTCTTTTCTTGAGAATGTATCATTCTTTCAAACAGTTGAGAATCAGCTGTTAGGTCATTTGAGTGATGTACAATTATGTCTTACAACTCTTGACGTGAATTTACCTATGTAGCATAAACTTTCAAATCGAAATATTCTGAAAACGGTACACAGTATCGAGTTTTACCAAGAGTACCTTTTTGGTTTTAAATTGAATGATGTCTAAGTTCACATCAAATTTGGATCGAAAAAAGTTATGTTCAAAACCACTTGGTACGAACCGTGTAACTAGCGCCCTCTATGAGAGTCAGATATAAAAACGAATGCATGCGATGTGTCAGATTCCAAGAAACATCCATACAAAATTTCATCACAATGTTGCCAGTAGTTTCGACAAAATCTTGAAAAATGTGTAAAAAAAATATTTTTTCAACACCTTGTATCTTGAAAACGGATGCCGTTACGAAATTTTCTTACTAAGTAAACCCAACTTATTTTGCAGTGTTCTACCTACCCTAGTTAGGGGGTCAGGTTTTTTTGAAACACCCTGTATATGGTATATGGGTGATGGTATGGATGTTTCATTGGTGGAATTGTATTCAATGATGAAATTATAAGCTGTTCTTAGAACACTGAGAGTTCTGCTAGCAACAAAAAAGTTTTTCATTCTGAATTATGATCCAATAATAAGATATTATTTTTGTAACTTCAGACTTGTGAATAAAATTGAGATTTTCTCCAAACGGCATAGAATGTGGCTTTTCTATAACATTCAACAGGCAGCAAAGTTGTGCTTTCTCTGCCGTTTGGAGAAGAAGGATTATTTAAAGAATAGTATTTTGTTTTCAGAAGCATACCCAATTATTTCTGATGGGGGAAAATCAATGGCATATTAAATCTATTTTTTTGCATGATATTTATATTGAACGAATAGAACATTTATCCTATTCCTAAATTTAGTACATCAAATTATAAATATAATAAATCACAGATATCTAATTTCTACAGTGTGTACGAGTACAGAGTAACGAGATCTCAATGAGTTATCATTTATAGGAAGACTTAATTAAATCGGGCTTTGTAGTAGGCAGTACATAATAGAGTGTACACTAATTCCTAAAAAAGAACTTCTAGAAAATAGGGAAGTACCTATAGCTTTAGTTTCTTATTGGTTGTACAGTAACTCTGTCAGACTACCTCTAATAGGAGGGGTTTACATGTAGGAATATACGATTTTTTGATTAGTACTGTTGTACTCAACTACTCAGTAACATGGAAAACTTAGATGATTTTATTTTTGGCTGACTTTTCTGTTGATGTGGCATCTACTACGCTTAATGCGATTCCTACTTGCGCTGCATAATATGTGGACATAACAAGAACCTGAAAAAAATTGAGATATCATTCTCACAACAACATACTATTCTCCGAAACTCGTCCAAAAGAAATCGGTAGAAGAAAGAAGCTCCTATCATTAAACTTCCACACAACTGTATTCAGGGAAATATTGATAATACTCATAATAATATCAATATTCATGTGAATCTCTTGTTCCAATTACCCATACTTCGCCTCCCAAATTGTATGAATCATGCTTTATACATAAAAAAAAGTTGTATCTGTTGACTATAAAAATACGCACCCATTTTATCAGTTTAATTATCAATTTGATTATCAATCTGATGAGTAATCATCTATTATTTCAACAAATTTAGTACTCAGTATATCTATAGGATGGTCACAAATCTACAGATAGTAAACACCAAAATATGAAGATTTAGCCCAACATGCCGTGAAAAAATGTTGCAGATACAGGGTGGTCAAAGGTTAATTTAAATTTCTCTATAACTATATGCAGTGAAACATTTACTTTGAAATTCTGTTTGTTTTTGGCTTTGTTAGTGATTGTCATTATTGATACTGTCTTTTTGCTACTGTCACTTCGCTATAACATTATAATTCAAAATAATAAGAATGTTGTAAGTGAAACACAAATCTCCTCAAGAGCTAATAACGCAAAAACCGTTAGAGCTAGATAATTTGAAAATGATTACATATTTTATGTAAAATTGAACAGGTTTTTGACTTATTTTAATAATTATTCAACGGACAATTCAGTCGAGAGATTGCCCATTCTTAATAAATCACCCTGTGTAAAACAACAAAAGTGCATATATTGTTAGAGAGCATTTAGTAAAAGCAAGGGTAAAAGCTGTTTTTTTCAATTTGAAATTTGAGAGCAATGTTAATTTTGCTAATTGAATTTCGTGAAAGAATTGTCAAGTATTCATGTTTTACTCAAATTGTGTACTGTCCTTTAGTCCCGTCACAATAACACGTACGTATACAACTATACAGTCAGCTGCAAAGAACATATCGCGGTTGGATGGTCTTACCGCTCTCATTGCATAAGTGACTAGTGGTACTATCCGTCCATGTTCATTGCATCTGACTGTACTTCCGTATAGGCGATTTTTTTTCCTTGGATGCTGGTCCTGTCACCGGCTACACCTCAGCCTCCTGGGATTTTTGTGCATTCCAGTTTATTTCACAGCATCATCTATTCCGTAGCTCTCATTCCCTGCACCAGTCTGTACAGGTTGTATTCTTCGGTAGTCAGCCTAGGCTGCCCGAATATTTCTTGTCTTTTGCGATCCAATGCCTCGCATTCTATTAATAAGTGTTAGGCCGTTTTTGTCCCTTAACCGGATTGTCTGCAGAGAATAGGTCTCCATTGTACAGTCCCATTTTATTCAGGTGTCCACCAGTGAGAAGTCCCGTTATTGTTCTGACTTGGTTCCTACTTATCTCGAGTAGTTCTTCAGATTTATTATTCGACGGTTCTTTAATGAATACTTTCCCGTGGTGCATGTGAGGGGCTTCAGTCCAACGCTCCTTTTGTTTTCGCTTGATCCAGTTCCGTGTAGCCTCGGGTAGCTGTTTTTGTAACCCCGAGTACGGGTTCTGGGCCAATGTATGGAGTTGAGTTGCCGGTTCTTGCCAATTCATCAGCTTTTTCGTTCCCTACGATGCCGCAATGTCCTGGAACCCATAACAGGGAAATTTTGTTATGTTCTGACAGGACATTGAGTTCTTCTCTGCATTCCCGTACCAGCCAAATAGATGTCACTTTCGGGTTCGTGGGAGCTATCAGTGGCGCCTGGCTATCGGTGCATATTTTGATTCGTGCATTGCATTCCCTCATATTGTTTGTTTTTGCACATTGCAAGATTGCGTATATTTCCGCTTGAAATACGGAAGGTTTTATTCCCAGTGAGAAGCTCATTTGGGAGTTTCTCCCTTATTTACTGTAAATTCCAGCATCAGAGCTTTCCTTGGTCTTGGACCCGTCTGTGTACCAGATCTTCTTTCCAGGTTTGCCCTTGATGTTGTCATCTGTCCATTCCCTTCGATCTTGTATGATCACCTCGAAGTTCATGTTGAAGCAGTATATTTTGGTAATGTGGTCCGTTGGTTTCATTTCAAAAATGTTTCCTCCCACTATTTCCTTTTTCCTGTTGTGTCCCGATCTATCGCTCGTGTTTTGTAGCCTTAGATGTCCCATTCTAGCCTCTCCCATGATAACTATGTATAGCGGGGGGATAGATTTAGTAGTGCTTCCATAGCGACTGTTGGTGTTGTTTTCATAGCTCCCGTTATGCTGAGGCAATGAGGCATGCAAGTCTTTGTACCTTACTCAACTCAGTCGTATCTGACTGTACTTCCGTATAGGTGACTCGTAGAGAATAATAAAAACTGCAACCTGTTGTAGTTCTGCTAGTTTATATGAAAGTACGGTGAATATGAATTCTCACCAATGCCTTAGTAACAACGTAGCAACTAAAAAAGCTTGTGAGCGATTTGTGATCAAAACAAATACAGGGTATGGCAATCAATTATGTCATGAATATACTTGATGGATACGAACCTGAGCGTATTCTATATTATATTTGAACTTATCCACCCCTATTATCAAATCTGATAAAGCAAAGAGCATACTTCCTGCGCACGTACAAAGTTTGCTCCAGGTCCACAGATCCTGAAATTTATAATATTATTAGACTAAATACAGCTTGTTCCTGTTTTAACCGGTTCAGCTCTGAGAATCGATTAAATAAGTCAAAATTATTTCGATAAAGATGAAAACTCAGATCCAAAAAAAAATTGAAAACGAACACCTATTCTATATCAAAAATCAACTTTTTCTGTAACGGGAAAGTATTTGACATTTCATTTCTGTTGACAGGTTATATAATGTCAATTTTCATAAATAACTTTTTTCCGTAAGAAATTTTAGCACACGGTTTTTTCGCTGGTATAATAAATATCGATCGATATCTATCGATTCTTAAAGCAATACCGTCAATACATGGAACACCTTGTTTATATTGTGAATTTTAACCTCGAAAAATTGTACTCTAGCTGTGGCTCTCCAAAGCATAGTTGTTATGACGAAAATATAAATCGGAACGCCAAAAATCAACACTCCGTGTAGTCCGGGCATGAAATCTAACACAACTGAAAAAAACTGGTTCAATCTGCGAACATCGCCCTGTTGGGTACATTTTTACCCATGGCTCCTAAAGAATACAAAACCAATCCTAATGGAAGATTAAGAGGCTTGAATCCGAATGCTAGGACGTACTGTATATGGCCTATGATGAAGGCCAGCATTCCTAGGTCAAAATACTGGTTCCATATTAATAGGGCGTCTCCTGCACAGCAGAAAACTAGGCCTGTTAAAATCCTTCTCGAGTATTTGTATCTGAAATAAGTTTGAATTATTTTCGAACCCCTCAACTCCCAAATTTCAACACCCTACCGCGGGTGTCTCAGATCGAGCTTCTAGGACCGCAGATATCAGAGTAACGTCTGGGGAGTATATCTGGGTTATTACAAGAAATCCACTTACTTTGGTTCTTCAAATCGCACCCTCATGTTTTTTTATAGTGATTTATACCGGGTGAGTCAAAAATGTGAACCGAGATTCAAAGTTGATTAAATTAAAATAATGTTTCTGCACAACATCTAAACAGGGAAAGCCACCAAATTGAAATTTCCTGCATGAATGTATGTTGAAATACATTCTTCTAATACCCTTCTAAATTTCTTATATAGGGTGTTTTTAGAGATGTGGGGTCATGATTTTTTGAGACAACTTTTTCCCTGTATCATTTTTGGTAAAGAAAACATCAGGAGTATTAGATGAAGCGAAGGAAATTACATAAAAAAGGTACTCTTATCATAATAAGAAGAATCCAACCGTTTTCGAGATATTTGAATTTTTGTAGTCACATGATATCAGAGCAGATTAATTTATCGGTGACAATATTTTAGGAGCCATGACCGCAATTTTGTGTTCAGTTACACATCAACATTGTTTTGTTGATTTCTTCGTTTTGTTTTTTTGCTTCGTTATATTATTACTGCGATTTTCAACTGAGAAATAACAGGTTATATTCGTGATGCAGAGATGTTTCCCACTTGACGCGTTCCAAATTCCAGAACAATTTTGAGGATTGTGCAAAGATTGCGTGAAAATAGCTATTTGTGTATTTAGAGCGCAAAGTGATAGATTGCCGCTCGACAAAGAAAAGCGGAGCGCGGTAATCTTTTGGAGAGCGGCAATGACACATTGTGCTCGAAATACACTCGAGATTTTTTCTACAAACGCAGCTTTTGGAAATAACTACCCTAGAAGTATCAGCGATTGAAATATAGTTCTTATCCATATTATTCTATATGTCCAAAGAAAAAAAAAAAAAACTTAAAATAACTGACAAGCCAGAAAAAAAATGTCGGGCCTACCGAGAATTGAAACCGAACCACCAGCGTGGCAACCTCAGACCTCTGAGCCATAGTAAACTCTGCAATCAAATTGAACATAACTCATTGATGCAATAAAATAAAGATACAATGTCTTTCTGATGATAACAAAGAGTTTTTTTTTTATCGCTTGGAGTATAATTTAGCTTTTTCAACAGATATTCTTCATCGGGAGGTTCTTGTAGAAAGTGTGGTTGATATATATCTTCAGCGGTGAATGTTTTGGATTTTTTACGCTGTATATCCAATATAGACGGATACTTATTGATTCCGATATTATTTTTAACATTCAAGCATGTATACGTACCATCGAATAGATAGACCGATGAGTTGATGACTTCAAAGTCTTTGATTTTTCACTAAAATAAGCCAGTAAAACGTTTTCTGAATACTCACTCACTTTCTTGGAGTGGCACCAATTTATGAATGTATCATATTGTAATTCATATTTCTTCCTTGATTTCTGCTATATCAGGGAGGTGTGTTTGATGGTTCACTGTCACTATATTTTCCATCATGAGGGAATTGGGGGCTTTTCAAGAATAGATAATAAGTGGGCCAGGTAGCCGTGCGGACAGAGTGTCTATATTCTAATTCGCATTCGCTTGCCGGTCGTGGGTTCGATCCCCGTCGACTGCAGAAATTTTTCTGATGTCCCAAGAAAGTGTTTGGGATCACACGTTAAAAGGTAAGGCCCCCGTCATTCCTTGCTCGCACAAGACTTTCGAAGACTTCTGAGGGTTGCTCGTAAGGGGGCAACCGAATGACGGATAGAACAATTTTAGAACAACAATTTAGTATAGGTTACAGAGATGTGCGAGCGTTTTTTCAATATTTCCGCTCACGAGCGCAAATGCTGTCAAAGAATGACATTTCTGGGAGAACGTCAACTTTGTGTTGGAATTTGAAAGCGTCAAAGGCTACTTTGTTAAGCGTTTGTAGAAAATAGTATATTGTGCAACAAGTGGGCCACATTTTGCACACTATACTTATCCTACAAATGCACTTATTCAAAGAATCCAAAGTAATGTAAATATTGGTATTCATTTTATAATGTGGCACTATGCCACATTGAATATTGTGATCAAAGAGTAGACGCCTCTCCTAGTTCCTCAAAGTATTACAAAAAAGTACACTTTCCGAAAAAAAATTTATGTATTTCTGTATATTTTTTAGATTCCATACATTTTTCGTATATGCCAATTCATACTTTTTTCTTGAAATTTCCGTAAACAAATCCAACTTTCGCAGCTTTTTCCATTATATCTGTCTCTGGCGGTGTATTTATCAAAATCGTCACATGTCGGTATATAAGTACATACATTTATTGGGAATGGTTGGAATAATATTTGATGGAAAATGCGATTTCTATCAGAAGCACTAATGAGAACTACCATAAAGAATTTAAAAAACGTCTTCTGACAGTTGTGACAACTATTCAAAGCTGAACAGAAGCCTATTAAGTTTTAAGGTCGATTTTTGTTGATTCTCCATGGAAGTGTATGTGGTGTTGGCAAAGTGCCGTGAGAAAAAATATTTCTCACAGTATGAGCATTACATGGTTTTGAAACTGAGTAAGCTATGAGAAATGCGCTACTTTTCATAGCAGTAGTAGAAAAATAATGTTTCGAAACAAAAAATAGAGATGTTGCCCGGCCAAGAGGTTCGAGTCCTACTAAAATATACTGATGAATCATGTCACTACAAAACCTCAAATATCTCGAGAACAGTTACATTTTTTGTATTTTGATAAGAGTACCATTTTTTGGTAATTTTCTTCTCTCTATCAGATGTTCCTGTTTTTTCACCGAAAGGAATACAAGGAAAAAAATTGTCTCCAAATAATCATGACACCCATCCTCTGAAGCACCCTTTATAACTATAGCAGAAATGTAGATCAAAAATCTGTATATCATTAACACACATTTATGAAGGAAATTTCAATTTGGTGGCTTCTACCGTTTAGTAGTTATGCGGGAAAATTATTTCAATTTTATCGACTTTGGAAGGATATATCTCTCTTAATACACATTTTGGGCCATTAGTTTATTCATCAAACTATACTAATTTTTCAATGAACTATCACATCCAGAAAGCTGGGAACACATTTTGGACTCACCCTGTATAAATTCTCATTCTCAATTCGAACTATACATCACTATCGATATACCGTTTTAGTCAAAATAATAATTATAAAGAAGTAATATTTACAAATCTACGTTTGATACATATAATTTTCTCTCCAAATAATGTTAAAAAACCAATTTTGTGTAATTTCTTTGTTGAAAACTCCATCATTTTGTGTTCACCCAATGTCAGTGTCAATTTTGATTACCAATTTCATTCAAATTTCTTGGAACGTTGCATAGCAACAAACTTTTCCTGCTAGGCAGAGAAAGTACAACTTTCCTGCCTGTTAGGTGTCTGAGAAAAGCCACTTTCCCTGCCGCTTGGAGAAGAATGATTTTGCAGGCTTGTTACACTGTTACACCCAAGTTATTCCTTGAAAAGTCAGAGCTATACACGAAGTCTGAATAGGCTATATAATGTAAATGTAGCAATAGTGAAAACCTCGGCGAAAACAGTTATTTCAAACAATCATTCTAGGAAAAAATCGATATTTTCCCTAAAAATTATTGAAATTATTCTTTATTTCCGGGGAGGAATTTCTCGCTAAATATCTAGTCCGGTATTGAGAATGAATAGTTCCGTAAGATGAACCGAAAAATACTTGGGGGTGCAATTTGAAAAACCAAAGTTAGGGGTGCATGATGGTTTCTAGAAGATTGTTTGCCATGAGGGTGATTCGATTTCATTATTGTCTTGGAGAGCTTTTGCTCCCATACTTTCTTGAAATTATTTTGTATGTTATAACCCAGATATCTGATCATCACCTAAAAGCTATGGGACTCCCGGTATTATTTAATTTGTTCTTATAATTCCTACTAAATGAAAACCTAATAGGCGACCTAGTGCTAGAAGGTATTCTTGCCTACTAACTACCTAACTATAGGTTGTCATCTAGCGAACGACAATGTTCCTACATAATAATATAACATTTTCTCTCCAACGAAACTTGTGACCTATACCCTGTATAGTGTATAGTCAGGTATGTGCATTGTGTATCTTGATGACGCATTAATGTCATGGCTGTTCAAGCTCAATTGTCTTTGTGATTAACTATACGCGATTTTGAAAGGTGTACGAGTGAAGTTCAATGTCAAAAGATAAAAAAATGGCTATAATGCACTATAATGCCTGTAGATGATTGACAATAATTGTAGATTATTTTTTCTCTTGTCACTCAACAATGCAAAACATGATAAGATTAAATCGCTCTTTATGTTTTATATTATTCATAAATAAGTTGGTATATTGCATCTAACCAATTTGTAAACAAATTTTAAACAAAAGAAGAAATTAGGAATTGTATCATCCGTCCAAAGTTCGGACTAAATATATTGATACCGGGTGACCAATTATATTCTGACCCATTTCAACTGCTCATATTATCTCCGAAACTATTCAAATTATCATTGTGCGGTTTGGACTTCTTTATGTTGATATTCTTCAAGTATTTTGATTGGTTCACCTTCTCACCTGAACTTCCGGATCTACCGGAAATAAACAAGCCATTATTCAGGTATAGGGCAACTTTGATAACATTGCATAATCTCATTAAACCATTCCACAAGCAGTAGTTGTTTCAAAGAGTTATAACTCTAATAGTTTTCTAGGAGAACATAACTTGTAATACATTGTTAGATAGAGAAAAGACCAGTCTTTCTGAATGTGCAAAAATATACAGGGTGATTCAATGGAATAAAAAAGTTGCCCTATACCTGGATTATTGCTTGTTTGTTTCCGGTAGAACCGGAATTTCAAGTGAGAAGATGGAACACTTAAAAAAAAACTTGAAAATCATCGAAATAGACTAGTCCATACCGCACAACGATAACTTGAATGGTTTCAGAGATATGAGCATTTGAAATGGGTCAGAATCTATACATGATATATGTATCAGCTAGGCTATTATTTTCAGGATAGATCAAACAAAAAACACATCGAAATGAAATAGTCTCTCATATGAGCTAGTATAATTATATTTTCAGGAAAAATATAGGAACGCGTTTAAAATGATTATATACAGGGAGATATAGGGGAGAGTGGGGTAGTAAAATGTTAGGATAACAACTTTTTGTAACCGATTTACAATATCAATATACGTGATAAAATGTTAGGATAACAACTTTTTGTAACCGGTTTATATTATCAATATACGTACTCATCCTTCATGTTCATTCCATGTAAAAGGACGAATAACATCAAGCTGACTATTGGCAGACATTTCAAGATGGTACTGAAGATGGACGGTTTGTCTTGTGGAACGAATATTACGAAATAAACAGCGACAGTTTTGAAAAATGGAACGAGTTTTGGTCCAACGCTCTTTACCTGCAATATTATAAATTATATACAGGGTGTCCCTAAAAGGTCTGTAGAAAATAGCACATTACTCCGTTTCCAAGATACAGGTTGGTGAAGATAAAAAATAAAAATCGAGATGTCAACTCCAAGAGAGTACTTTGGAAAATCCAGTTTTGCACTCCCATTTCACTGACCAAATTACACCCAAGAAGATAACAGCAAACATTTTTTATTCCAGATAATTTAAATGTAATATAATATTATAAATAAATATATTAAAAAGCGAAATATATCGAAATCGGCTTACTTTAGCGGATTATCACAAGATTATCTTTTATGCTCAAAAATGTTCATAAAAATATTTCCTCAGCGAATAAAGTAATGAACTATACTGAGAAAAAAGTTATGGCCTTTCTAAACCATGAGAGGTGCATTTGTATTAAGCGCCCTCTAATGGCCACAGTGAAAAGGTGTCCGTATTGATGTATTGCATCCCAGAAATCCCCCAGATATCAATTTTTCAAGTGATACGTTTGAAACTGTTCATAAATTCTGAGAAATTCGATTTTGTATCTCAGAAACGAAGCAATTTCGGAACTGTGATTTCGGTCTGAGGTAAGTTGCTTGAGCAATTTAATTTGGCTCATTTTGACCTCATGAATATGTGCTGAGATTTTGAACAGTGGAACACCCTGTACATATATGGGACCAATGATATATAGCTTCGTCATCACTTGACATAGATATAAACGTCGGGGTAGGTAATGGGAATTCTATTATTTTCGAATAATGAGGGAGAAATATGTTTATTTTAATTAATTAATAATATTGGTAACCAATATTAATATTCTGACACAAAGAAGTTGAATTATTTTTAAGAGATTTAATGTACGTGCCGTTTTGTCACCAAATGAAAATGGAAACTTTGACACCCTGTATTTTTGTTATTATTATCAACTTTTGGAATGAGGTTAAATATCAATATTTTTATTCAATGAATCTGCAGTTTTGCTGTGTACCATTATTTATCGGACACCTTGTATACCAAAACAAACTGATATGTTGATATGTTTACATGCCAGCAATATTAACAAAGAAAATCTTGTCTTACCACTTTTCCTACAGAAGTCATTTCAATTTTCACTGATTATGGTAATGTTTGATTGATTTATCACCCCGGTATTCTCTTCAAAATCAGCTGTTTCGAATGTAAACATTGATGGCGACGTTGGAAATTCGTTCACATTTCACAACAGAAATATCGAAGCAAACAATAAATGATAGCGTGTATTTTTGAGCGCAGGATCGAGAAATAAGTGCATTCAAACGCATGCCCCGCAGGTTTTCAGTTGGGGCGCCTATTATAGCTCAGGAAAATTCTGGCTAACTTTGATGTTCGTTGAAATTTATCAGCGCTGATAGTGTGAGAATTTCACCCAACTGTCAAAACCCCAATAAAATTGCTCCTAATGATAAAATAAATATTCAATGAGGTTGAAGGTCTGTTGATTATTCTCTCCTGCAGCAAATTAATAAATGATTATACCACGATAGCTCGATATCCATGGTAACGGAAATTCTGACGCGTAACTGACGTTTCAATATCGTTTCGCTTTCTGAATATTATTCGGTGATTTGAACAAGAAATGGAATCCAATAGATGGGGAACTGCGACAAATGACAAAATCCATTTGGCAATTGCACAGAATACGCCAAAAAATACAAGGAAATCTAAAGAGTATGCATGCATGGAAACAATATATGAACTTTTGCCGTAATGGAAATTATGTTGTCGGAAAGGAAACTACACGTTACCACCGATACAACAAGGCCAGCAGACTCTGACGTAAACAGCTCGTGACGTCACCAAGAGAGGCCAGTGTTTTATTTTATCGCTTGTCGACTAACGCGTCAGTTCGTGTTAATTCATCGGTGATTCACGTATGTTTTTGAAACGGTCCCGAATTCTTTTGTTGTTAATTCATCAAAATAATTGGCGGAAAAATTACTGTTTTGTGAAATATTTTGTGTTGTGATCGGCGAAATAACAATGCCTTTCAAGTGTTGTGTTCCCTTCTGTCGGGGGAATTATGTGGGTGGTTCAAAAGTTCATGCTTTTAGTTTCCCGTTGGACGAGGAGCTATTGAAAATGTGGGTATATGCAATTCACCGCGAGGATTTTACTCCATCTAAGTTCAGTAGTAAACAGAGCTTAATTTATAATGATGAATTAATAATAGAAGACAATTACTCTCTCATAAAAAGTATAAGTAGAGGAAAATAGAAAAGCTTTGATTGTGCAGTTAGTTTTGTATTCGTATATTATAGTCAACAAAATCATCTCTGAATTCGAGGAAATTTTCTTGAATGTTCATAATAAACGGGCATTTTTAATTCTCATTCTCAAATTTCTTTCTGAAAACGGTCATTTGCCTCGTGGCAATGAATGCAGAATTCATTCCAATGATCAAATTGCAACTATCATATTAACATGAACTACAAACACTCTACTCAAAAAGGTAAAACTGCATTTATCATGATATTTATCATAAGATATTTGACTAAAAAGTTCCAAATTTCACCTTCTCTTTCACCTGTCTTCTGGATGGCATTTAGAACAATTTTCCCTTCTTTTTTCATCATATTGGACAATTTATATATAATTCAACTATAAATATGATTTTCTTGAGATTCATACATATTTAGTGAAAAGGAGGAAGAATATCATTCAAAATAATGGCGTGTGTAATGTCATTCGAAAGCAATCTATTGACATTTGACATCTCGTATTTTGATTGACTATTGATTAAATGGTCGTCATCTGGAATGCTTGTTCATTGAATATGAAAAACTCGCCATAAAAATCATATTTCCTGTTGAATTTTCTATATAAAAATGTGCCATTGAAGTACATCATGAGTATATAACGTGTCCAATGACAAAATAAGAGCAAGTAGCTTCAAATGCCCCCAACACAAGGGGAGAAAGAAGGCGAAATTTCGAACTTTTTCTTGAAATATTTCAATAAATAGTGGTTTGTTCACATTTTCATTATAAAATTCGGTTTATCAGACAAAAATACGTGAGTACCGAAAAAAATTTTCAAAAAAAAAACCATCGCATGATAATTGCGGTGAAAATTACGGTTTCAAGTGTAACGATCTACTTGGGTGAAAAATCCAACAACAGAAAATTGAAAACACTCACTGGTTATTTTTTCAGGTAATAGGAATTCTCCAAGATAAATATAGGTTATTGTAACAAACGGCATGTCAATCAAAATAAGATACATTTTCCACAATTTTCTTTCGATCAATCTCACGATAAGTTTATGTTCTGCGGGCCCTGTATAAGTAGGTGTGAAGTTGACCTTCACCACAATTGAAATTGCGTATATATTGAAAGATTATGCCTTCAATATGAAGAAGCAGAATGGCAGTGTAAACAAAAAAACTGATATATAATTCAATTGGAGTTTTGCTTTAAAATAGATGAAAAATGGCCTACTCGGTCGGGGTCACGTGACTTTCGCTACATGTCAAAAGTTATATTTTTTCGAATCAATCGCTGAAAATAGGCTAATTAAATTGAATTTGGAAAACGTTTACAGTGAAAACTTATTCTTTCTATTCCGATTTTATCCATGTGTCTCAAAACTGAACGTTTAATTGCAACTTTTAGTTTTTGTTTATTCTTAATTGTAACTTCGACAAACTGTGCTAAACTTTGTTTCAGTACTGAGAAAATCCATTTGAATAAATTTCGCTCCTAAATGCTCGACACAAGATCGAAATATGAAAGATAGTTTCTATAAAACTTGAGACACATAATATATGTATGTACTTTTCTGAATGAACGTTTTTGCAATTCAAACAATGGAGCCTATTTTCATCGATTAATTTGAAAAATGTAACTTCTCGACCAAGTCGGTCTATTTTCATTTTTTAAACGCAAAACGTAATGCCCAAGTCGAATTCCGGAACAAATATTAGTAAAAGATTTCCCCACATGATGCCAATTTCCTCAAAGACACTCTATGAATACTTAATGTTTTATTGGGAAATAGTATTGTGTTTAGATGCAGATATGCAGCCCCCTGAAAGTAATTCTGGCGGCGCCCATGATGACAGACATTAATAAGGGTTTCGAAATGTCTCTCGTCATTCTGTCGAACGCCATTTTGTCACACGCCATTTTGTCATGCTCTATTTTGTTACGCAACCTTGAAAACTTGTTGTGAAATTGACTCTCACTGTATTTTAGCAATTGAGCAATAAAGATTGTACGTCAGTGTCATTTGGATCTTGTCACTTGACAAGTCTATCTCCCTATAGGTTTATTAACCCAGATCACATTATACTTATCTCCGAAATGTTTTCTATTCATAAAAACTCTTACCTTCACAATTACTACAAGGATATCAATCCAAGACTCATCAACAGATGCGTTGAAAGAGGTAAGTTATCCAACATGGCAATTCTCAATGTTAACAGATGTACTCAGGTTTTTATATTTTTTGTGTAGCATGGCAGGCCAACAGCATAGATGAGCACGATTTGGATCCTCCTTTCAACAGGCTCACCTCAGAACAACCTCATATACCTGTAGAAAATGTGGACATCACGCGTAGACCTCTTGGCTTCGGAAGGAAGGCAATGCCAAAATTGGTGAGGAAAAATGGTGATTTTTAACTGCTTGACTCGCTATTCTTTTACCTCTTCTCGCTGACTGTCCTTGTCCTATCTTGTCCTTGTTTCAGACTGTTCTTGCCCTAAATTGATCTTGACTTTCCTTCTACCTTGACCTTGGCTCTCATTCTACCTGCTTGATTTTAATTTAAACTTATATTTTGAATAGCGTCGTGAACTTCATCACAAAAATGAAAGAGTCGTTATAGCCGCCATCGAAAGCATCTGCGACCTTGTCCATGATTCCGAGAGGGGATATGAAGCTGTCAATTTGAAAATTGTTGATAGGTAAGCGTAAGCAGCTTTAATCGTTCCAACCTTCAAAAAACTGATTGCATTTAGCACCCAGCTAACTAAAATGAATGGGGGGCTCATCATTTTTCGAGCAATGCCAGTAATGCAACCTCAAATATCGTTGACACAAAAGTGTATTTTATTTTTTACGCCGGTGGGAGTAGAAGTTAGTTTATCTGGCAACCAAAGAGGGTCAGAAGTCTCGTATTATTTCCTAGGGAGATATAATGTGACATATTTTCTCCCTATGGAGATTATACCAACTTTACATTTTCCGTATAGCTCTGCGCTTTCTTTCCAGAACACCCATCCCTGAAGCGAGTATAAGCTGCATCATACAGATTATGTATATATGGCAAACCGGACATTGTATTAGAAGAAATCATATGAATTCTCATGTTGATGATCAAGATAGATCATAGTGTCATTAAATTGACCGATTCTAGCCGTTTGTTTTCAATTTTTCAGTGATTCAGTAAAAATCTAAATTCTGATATTTTCAATATTTGTCTATTCCCATGAACTGTGAGTTGGACTGTGCAATGAGGACGCTAATATCTGAAACATATCAAATTTTCAGAAGAATTAGCCGAAAAGCCATTTTCCGTACTGAATGTGCGGGGTCCTTTAAGAAGAACACCAATTCCTACCTTAAATAAATGCAAAAAGCTCAAAGTCATTTCCACACAGTGTTCATAAAATGAACAACAATGGTAGATTTCGGGAGAAAAACAACTACTTCCCTGGCTAATGCCACGCAGGATATTGAATTACATCCTCCCGTCGGGCTTCGTTGAGTCGGCGGTCTTAGGACTGCTGGCTGGAGACTACACTGCACTGATGAGAGTCAAAGAGCTCGAAACCGGTCTGTGGTTGTCTAGCGGCCTGGCTTAATCGAAATCAATTGGCATTCAGGAAAGAATCACTTGTATCAGTATTCGTTTATACGAGTCGATGCATAGATTTCGGGAGGATGTAATTCAATATCCTGCGTGGCATTAGCCAGGGAAGTAGTTGTTTTTCTCCCGAAATCTACCATTGTTGTTCATTTTATGAACACTGCGTGGAAATGACTTTGAGCTTTTTGCATTTATTTAACATTTCATTCCACTGTGAGCATTGTGGCTATTTCGTAGTTGGAATTCCTACCTTATTTCCCTTGGTTCTCACGATGTTCTCTGAACATTACAGGATGATATCCCTTTATTTAGTGGGAACCAGAACATAAAATAGCGCATTTATGCTTTCTTCTCAATACGTTAGGCAATTATATTTTAATGCTGACGTTCATGATATGTTTTGTCAAATTCAGAAAATTTTGAATGAAATAGCGCGGGACGGCTATGGTGCTCTTGTCATAATAGTCCAATAAATGAAGGAGGAAAAAAAGGCAAAGTTAACGTTAATTACGCACTATTTTCATCTTCCGGTTGCAAGTAGCTTTTGGTACCTCATTAAACATGAGACAAAGTTTGACTGGAAAACGCGTGCGATGGCGGAGAAAATGGCCCCAAAAGACCAGGAAAATAGGTTTTTAGCCAATATCTCCTAAAATATGGCAGTTGTAGATTTTCGGTTCAGATAAAAATTGAAGTTCAGTTAATTTTCTACAAAAATGGTCCTTATCATTTTTTATGCAACATCAATATTTTCTGCAAAAAAATCGGGTTGAAAAACTGGAAATTTTGAGACTTGTGAAATATGCAAGTTTTGTACAAAATTTGAGCTGGGGGGTGTTGGAAATCCATTATTTTCAATGTTTTGGATTGTGGAAACCAATTGTAGATGGCGCCACCACATTTTACAGATTGGGAAAATCCTCGGTGCCATAAATGAGAAACCCTGTAACCAGACATTTTTGATGGATATTTATGTTTCCGAGGGTCTTGTTTTCCTCTCAGATGAGGCCTCAAGATATACTTATTAGGAAAACAGGCTATAAGATTAATTACAGCAGGATGGACCACAGCAGGATGGACCTCACCAGTTGGCCTAAATCTAGCAGAGTCAAAATTGTTGCACTGGAAGCCGCCATTTCTACATTTGAGATTGAAGCGTCTCCTGCACTGTTTGTGCATTTGCACAGACGTTTGTTTTTCTAAAAAAATATTATGTTTATCCTTCCTTTCCTTGCTTACATCAATCAAATTTTCGAAGCCTCGAGTTACGGTGACAGCATCCACAGAAATGGGTTCCTTACAAAGGAAATACACTGCTGTAGCAGAGTTGACCTCCATTTTTCTATAACAAGGAAGGCAGACCAAGATTTCACTTAAAATAGTTGCTTGTAAACGAATGTTCTTGAATAAAAACAACATGAACAAATTCTCAGCTTTTGCTCCAATTTTACAAAATTTGATTCTTCACTTTCTATATGTTCTATATGTACAAAGAGTAAATGAAAATTAAAAAAAATTAGGGTATACAAATTTCAGAGATGACAAAGGACCTTATGAGGACCCATAATCAAGAAAACTTTGAGTAAATTAGTGCAATACAAAAAAATAGGAACAAATTGCTGGCGAGGTCAAAATTGACCGGGAGCAGAAAGTTTGACCCATGTTCCGATATGGCCAATAGAGTCAAGCGTGACTCAATTCACTGGGTATGATAGCAGCAGAATTCCTCTTTCACATGAACTTTGAATCATGAGAAAATATGCATTTTGAACAAAGTTATTGAATAATTTGTCCCCCCGCCGATGTGTAAATACACGGACTGTGCTCTCTGGCATACAACAGAAGCTCATTATTCGAGGTGCGCTTCGTGCCGTTTTTCTCGAAACCGGGCAAATTTTCGAGAAAAATGATAAGGACCATTTTTGTATAAAATCAACTGAACTTCAATTTTTATCTGAACCGAAAATCTCTAACTGCCATATTTTAGGAGATATTGGCTGAAAACCTATTTTTCTGGTCTTTTGAGGTCATTTTCTCCGCCATCGCACGCGTTTTCCAGTCAAACTTTGTCTCATGTTTAATGAGGTACCAAAAGCTACTTCCCACCGGAAGATGAAAATGCGTGCGTAATTAATGTTAACTTTTTCCCTTTATTTATTGGACTATAATGTAAGGTGTGTAACTTAATAAATCTAAACATTCAAAAACACTGACTGTTATTCTCATTTATGTGTCCGACCTCTTATGAATCATCTAACTAATACCATCCATATAGTGACTCTAACTATTACTATGAGGCAGGTTTAAGTAGTGGTCTCTCGTACTATTTCGTTTGAATGAATTATACAGGATGGTGGATTTGATGGCCCACGAAAACGAGGCGATCCGAGAGAAGACCTCTAGAACTCTGACGGTACTAGCCAGACAGGCTTGCGGAAGACTGGCCATATCGACCAACAGACAGTTACTGGAGAATGTGGCTGCCTGTGCGGAGGATTTTTATCCAGAAGTGAGAGTGCAAGTGGCTGCCTTGTTGGAGATGCTAGCCCAATTCTGGAAAGGTAAGCGATGAAATGGAGAGTTTCTGGATTGTTTACAGGGTCTTCACGTTTTTTTTTTCAAGGAACATTCTTTCATATTTTTTCTGTAGATTTTATACAGGGTGTTCCGTTGGGAAACGGAAATACTTTAACGGTGGATAGAGGTGACCAAGATGGTTCTGAATATACCATATATGTTGGGTCTTACATGTTTTATTATCGAGATATAGGGTGTTTTATCACTTATATCATAAGAACCACCTGGTGTATTTTCTTGATATTTGGTAGACGTGTTTTCCTACTGCTACCCCAGCGACTCGTATATCCGTCAGAAAAATTCAACATATTATTGGGTCCTCGAAAAAACACCCTGTATGTTTGAATTTACAAAATCTGTTTACATATCTGAAGAGAGCACAAAATGTTGAATGGATTTCTGTACTTTATATGTTTCCGCATGCTAATTTACTACTGAATTTCTGAGGCTGCAATGAAGGATTTGTAAATTTCAATAGCTAAAAACGGAATATTTTCTGTTTCTCACTCGGTTTTTCATATGGAATTATGAAAATTTTGCAATTTTGCAACTCATTTTGTTTCATTTAATAGTCGTTGTCTGCATTTTAATGCCTGTTGAGTGGGCCACTGTATATTCACAGGTTCTTACTTCATTCATGTACATATACCTATTTATTTGTTTGAGACATTATTTCCATGCAGCCTGTATGTGTATTCACATATTTCAATATTTCTATTGTTTTGTTGTTTTAATTTCACTCACCAATTAAAAACTGATGGATCTTATTACCTTGGTATAGGTATTAGGAAAAATACAATATGGCATAATTAATTTATACCCCGAATAAAAATGTTCTGCAGCGAATTTTGTTTGTATCAGTTTGATTTAGGATTTAGGAAATAAATAGGTACATGAATAAAGTAAGGACCTGTGCAGACAACGACTATTAAATGAAATAAAATGAGTAGTAAAATTGCAAAATTTCCATATTTCGATATGAAGAACTGAAAATATTCCTCTTTGAGCTATTGAGATTCACAAATCCTTCATTGTAGCTTCAGAAATTCAGTAATAAAATAGCATGCGGAAATTCAAAAAGTACACAAATCCATTCAACATTTTGTGCTCTCTTCACAGATATGCAAGCAGATTTTGTAAATTCGAACAAACAGGGTGTTTTTTCGAGGACCCAATAATATGTTGAACTTTTGTTAATCCGGGCTTGGAATTTATTTCTGACGGATATACAAGTCGCTGGGGTAGGAGTGGGCAAACACGTCTACCAAATATCGAAAAAATATAACAGGTGGATCATATGCTATGAGCCTTCAAAGAAATGACCAGAATTGATAAAACACCCTATATCTCGATAATGGAACATGTAAGACTAAACATATATGGTATATTCAGAACCACCTTGGTCATCTCTATCCACCGTTGAAGTATTTTCGTTTCCCAACGGAACACCCTGTATATGCCAACAGAAAAACAGTTCAACACATCAAGAAATACTCATATGGGCAACATAATATCTAGATTTTTAAAGCGATCTATCACACTTGGGGTCTAGCTGAAATGATTACAGAGATATAGAGTGTGAAAAATTGAGATATCTTCGACTTTAGTAATTTTTTGGGTCGAAACTATCAATTATTGGCTAAAACGCTAAAACGGTTTTCATCTCCCTATATTAACTTATGATTTACTAATATTACTTTATCTTGAGATACATGTTTTCATGTTGGTATCATAAACGGAGTTACGTAAAGTATAAAAAAAGTAGTAGTCCAAATCATGTTCAACTGGAGATTTAAAAAAATGGAGAACATTTTTTACGATGATTTTAAAGATACTGCTAAATCAAAAAGATCTCGTTATGATATTGAAGAGATATGAAAATTGAAACATTGCCATTGATTTTAGAGGTATACGAAAATGCTATGTTCAAAAATTCCTTATATACAGGGTGTTTCATAATATATGTGCAGGACTTCAGGATGTGACGGTTCGTTAAAAAAATATGAAAATAGTATATTATTCAACAAGCATATAATGTGGGATATTATTCATGAAGGTTTAGCTGAGTGAATAATATCTCATTATATGCGAGTAGAATAATATACTTTGTCCACGACTACTATTGTTTTCGATATATAAATTAATATTTAACAACTGTTTTATATCATCTCATCATTTGACATTAAGAAAACTAAAAATTGAAGATACCTGTTATATTAATTATTTGTCCACGACTGTTGTACTTCCTCAAGCAAACGATAGCAATTTTTCACACCAGTGAATAATAGCGGTGAATAACCATTATTCACTGGTCTAAAGTTCCTTATATGTTATATCGCGTACCCTAGGAACTCTAGACCAGTGAATTATGGTTATTCACTGCTATTATTCACTGGTGTGAAAAATGGCTACCATTTTCCTTGAGGAAGTACATGTATTATGAATATTTTATACAACAGTCGTGGATGAATGATATTTTTTGATATAATTTCCTATATCTCGATGTTCAGCGGCGGATGACCTGGTAGAATTCGGTTTCGTGCAGATCCTCCTCAGCAATCTTTTGAAAGAAGAACCCGAAATCATCGTCATCCATCTGCAGACTTTGAGATCTCTCATGCACGCCCTGGCTGGAAAAATGATCGCCATTGAATCCGACGGTTACAATATCTTCGTAAGACCATGTCGAGCTTGACGAGAAGCCATATACACTATACAGTGTGTCCAAGATAAGGATGTCTATCATGGGGTGAAGTTGATGATGGTTTCTCCGAAACGAAACGTCGTACGGAAAATCTCTCAACGCCGTTTTGTAGAGCTTGAAAAGTGGCAATGACAAATCGTGTTCTGTGTTCCTATATACAGGGTAACTCACGGTCCATGGTACGTTAGACGTTTATGGAGAACGGGACATAGGATCATTCTGAAATTTTGGTTACTCACGTGGTTGCTCTTGGTCTATCGATCTAAAATATTTTCAGCTCTGCAGCGTTGCCGCTTCTATCGAAAAGTAGCTACAACTTTGTTATTTTAAATGGAACACCCTGTTTTTTATTGCATTTTCAGATTCTCTCTGAAGAGCTGATTTCATCGATGTTCACACTTGGGGTCTAGCGGAAATGATTACAGAGATATAGGGTGTGAAAATCGTCATTTTTCAACTATGTATAGGAATTTTTTTTGTCGAAACTATTCATTATTGGTCAAAACGGCTTACATGTCCCTATCTCAACTTTTGATTAACTATCTACTGATATTTAATTGGGACATATACCGGGTGATCAAGATTCTGAATTCTGCACCACCCTGTATTTGTTTCAATTAAATGTCAGTAGATAGTTGATCAAAAGTTGAGATAGGGACATGTGAGCCGTTTTGACCAATAATGAATAGTTTCGACAGAAAAAATTCCTAAAGTTCTTCACACCCTATATCTCTGTAATCATTTCCGCTAGACCCCAAGTGTGATACATCGATGAAATCAGCTCTTCAGAAAGAATCTGAAAATGCAATAAAATAAAGGGTGTTTCATGCAAAATAACAAAGTTGTTGCAACTTTTCGATAGAAGCGGCAACGCCGCAGAGCTGAACATATTTTAGATCGATAGACCAAGAGCAACCACGTGAGTAACCAAAATTTCAGAATGATCCTATGTCCCGTTCTCCATAAACGTCTAACGTACCATCGACCGTGAGTTACCCTGTATACAGAGTGACCCATTTGAAAGCGGGACACCATCATGATTTTTTTATTTGTGGAGCAATTTTCACGGGTTTTCTCCTGAAATGTAGACGGGGGAAAGGTGTATTTTGGAGCCAAGCTGCGTTTATTTTCTCAAAATACCAAGGCCTTCTAGATCACATTCGATCTGTGTCTGAAAAATCCAGAATCCTTATAAGCGATTTGAAGAAAAATCTTACGCCACTAGAATCGACGTCCTCTAAAATAGATATGAACCAAGTTTTATGAAAAAATATTCAACATTAAATAATCCTCAGCGTATCTCATTCCACCCCCCCCCCCTCTATTTCTCAGCTCTGCGATCTCTACCGAATTGGGAGTGACCATCAATAGAATCGGTTTTTCATAGACATACATCCTCTTGAACAGTGCCGTGCGTTTTTATTAAAATGAAAAGGGGTCAATTTTTTATGAAATTCTATTAGGATTTTTTTTTCAGGAAAACTGACCTTCATGGTTTCAAAACCCCTAATGTGAATTTTCACATTCCCATGAAGGGTTTCAAAAAATCAGGCACATCTGAAACAGCATTTCAGCGAACTTAATAATAATTATTCACGCGGAAACGGTATACCGGGTGACACAGGGTATCGGGCCACCCCTGTAACTTCTGCTTTCGTCATCGGATTTTTCTAAAATTCGGTACAGTTATATAAGCAATTATTTCGGATTTGATCACATTACAATCCAATATGGCGGACTTCCGGTTTTTCTCGAAATGCCAGCAACTTTGTTTTTTCAAATGAAACACCCTGTATATTTTTACATATTCAAGTTCAACAGGTCGAAACAAGTGCAATCTTTATTTCAAATGTCATTTTTTCGAAAAAAATTAAATTAAAATCGTTTCTTCATTTTACCTCGTGGATACATGAGATGTGGTCAAGACTATTCACAATTAGTCACACATAACAGAAGAACATAATTTTTTCTGAGAAATTATTTTTTCTGTCACTTATCCAGGAATCAATTCAGCCACATCACTTTTTGATCAAAAATTATTTTTTTTCAAATGGAACCCCTATGGGCCACCTACCCGTTTCTCTAGAACATACATTAAGGAACAAAATGAAATATCATTGTTGTTTTTCGGTGCAGTAACAAATTGTATACATTCAAAAATCAACAACTAGTTTATGAATTTCCTTGCAGTTAGAATAATTTTTCAACTAGGTAGGCTGTGGAATAAATGACATTTGACATCAAGATTGCACTTGTTTTGACATGTTGAACTTGAATATGTAAAAATATACAGGGTGTTCCATTTGAAAAAACAAAATTGCTGGCATTTCCAGAAAAACCGGAAGTCCGCCATATTGGATTGTAATGTGATCAAATCCGAAATAGTTGCTTATATAACTGTACCAAATTTCAGAAGAATCCGTTGACGAATGCAGAAGTTACAGGGGTGGCCCGATAGCCTGTGTCACCCGGTATGTTGAACACGGTTGAACATAAAATAGTGTTTCTCGTTTTTTCTTTGCAATCACGATTTGGTACCTACCGCAGCTATTGAACAGTCCAAAATTTGCATTTAATTCAAATTCACTATTTCTCCGAGGCTGAAAATGCAAAAAAATGAGGCAATTCTTTGATGAGATGAAAAAAGCAAAAGGCACGTCTAAAGCTAAGATTTATTTATTTATTCATCCAAACAGGCCTACTGGCCTAATTACATGGATAACCCAATGAAATTACATACTTGATGTCACTTCAAAAAAAATATCATAGTTGACCATACTAAAATTATGTCGATAAATAGATATATATGGTTTATATGGTTTACCAGAAAAGTAGAGGATTAAATGGAAATGTTCAATATGGAATTTAAAATTTCATTTCTGAAAGCAGTTGGAGCTTTTGACCAATCAAATACATTCAGAACATTGAATTGATTGGCTATAGTCGAAGCATGGCTACAAGAGGGGATTTACTTGACTGCTTATATAGCGGAGATATGAAACATAGGGGAGGAACGAATACGACAGAAAGGTACTCTGAATGGAATTAGCGTTAAAATTTCGGGACAATCTATCTTATTATTGATAATTTTATACAAAAACAATATACTTGTAAGGTTTCGTCTCTGATCCAGAGATATTATTTTGAAATGAGATCTGAGTTCAGTAGTTCTGACTGTCAAATAGTCAGGCCATACATGGTATTCCTTGAAATACAAGTATCTAAGTAACTTATTTTGCACCTTCTCAATTCTTTTTTCGTTTTGGCCTGACTAAAGTATAATATAACATTTTAATGGTATGTATATTCGTAAATCTGGAAGTCTGTCTCACAATAAATCCCAAAATACGATTCGCAGATTCAACAATATTATCCAGATGGTTAGTGAGAGAAAAAACATCATTGTAAGTTACACCAAGATCACGTGTCTCTGTCTTTCGTTCAAGAGGTTCCCCGTTCATTTCATACCTAAATACAACTGGATCCTTTAACCGAGTTATAGTCAGCACGACACATTTATTTATGTTGAAATATAGTTTATTTTCATTACTCCATTTATGAATATTGTCCACGTCTTTTTGCAGAGCAACACAATCCCTTACAGTCTGTACCTTTTTGAAAATTTTTAGGTCTTCTGTAAAAAGAAAGCAATCTGTATTTACCAGGACGGCCGGCAGGTCGTTAATAAATAGTATAAAAAGCAACGGTCCCAGATTAGATCCTTGCGGTACTCCTGTATTGGCCCTAAACTTGCCGGACGTATTACCATTATGTTTGACGAAGAAAAATCTATTTTCTAAATAACTTTTCATTAATTCCAGAATATTCGGTGTGAGTCCGTATTTATTCAATTTACTCAAGATATAGAGTGCGGGCGTTTAAAATGAGACACGCTGTAGATAGAATGTTGAATATTTTTTCATGAAACTCGGTACAGATCTATCTATTCCAGTGGTGTACGTGGATTTTTTTCTAAAAAAAATTTCAGCCTCTTAATGCATGTGATCTCTATGCCGCAAAAAAAAGGACGCCGCTTCGCTCCATAAATAAAAAATTTATGAGAGTGACCGGTTTCAAATGGGTCACTCTGTATATCTCTTTAAATAACGTCAGAAAAAATGAAAACGATTCCCGTGATAGACATCCTTATCTTGGACACGGTGTATACTGATTAGTTCGCTTTATGCAGATCATAGATTAATTTTAATCTATGTGCAGATGAAGCTGTTGGACCATAAACGATCGGAAATCATTTCCGAGGCTCTGGCTTGTCTGTCGTTGCTCGCTTCGACTTGTGTCGGTGAAAAGTTGGCCAGGCAGATGAATTTGCTGGATACTTTGAACGTGCATCTCCACGATGAGGTCAGATTTGATTTTTTTCTTATTGAACTGATCAGAGTGAAAGCGAACGTGATCAAACTAAAGGACCCCGCACCGCAATAGGGGGGAAATAGGCTTTCGGTGAATTTTCTCGAATTTTAGATATATATTGGTCCAAAAATAGAAAATGTTCCAATTATTTCCGAAAAAGTGAGCGGTTGAAATCAATTCATTTCTGGACATTTCGTAGCATACTAATATTAATATCTATTCATGATGATTGCATTTTTTGAATCAGACATATGTAGTCCTCCAGAGCAATTGAGAAACAAGACAGAAATCCTGAGTACGTCAACTCCAAGAAAACTCCACTACTACTTTGACAACCACCCTGTATAATTCAGGTATTCGCATAAAATATTGTCATCACGAATTATCAACTTCCTTACGAAGTTTTACGGGATTCCAATCATTCTATGGATATGGATCATGACGGGTACGGTTTCATATGGAAACTTGAACATCTTGTGTATAATATGTAGTTTGATATAAGAAAAGCAATTATCATGAATCGATGTTGATATTAGTATACTATGAAATGTCCAAAAATGAATTGATTTCAACCGCTCACTTTTTCGGAAATAATTGGAACATTTGCTATTTTTGGACCAACTCTGTATATCGTGAGTACGTGCAGATATCATTGAAGTCTATAGTGGATTTTCACCGGCCACATGGATAAACAAAACGTAGTCAATTTGATTTTGGTATTCAAAAAGGAAAATTCACAATGGCCATTCGAAATTTTGAAAAAGTCAGCTTCATCACCCTGTATAATCCAAACTATTGAATTTAGAGCGTTGATAATTGTGACATCTGATCAGCATCACGAGTTCTACGATATATCCAAAATTCGAGAAAATTCACCGAAAGCCAATTTTCCCCCTATTGCGGTGCGGGGTCCTTTCTGTACGATTGATCCAGTTTTTATGTTCTGGACGAAAGAAGAGGATTAGATTAGTACGGATTTCTGTATTATCATTTATTGTCATGATTCATTTTACTTCATTTTATCCCAGGGACATCCTTTCGACAAAAGAAAAAAAGTTGTAGGTCGAGTAGGGATTGAACCCGGGACCATTGACTTATCATGCTCGCACCTTGCTCCATTGGCTATCATGCCTCCTGAAGATTTATGTACTAAACAAATTTATAAACAGAAACCTGAATAAATACAACTTTGTTAGGAATTGGGTATAATTATTATCATTCTTGGGTGTTTAAAAATGAGGGGCATTATGCGTGTACGATTTCTGTCTGCGAAAAATGGTAATTTCTTAAGAAGTTCTGAGACTTTATTCTTTATTTTCATTACAATCATTTTCCGGAAGAAAAACAAACATTTTCAAAAAAATTCAACTCAATAGTTTGATGAAATTCAATGACTCTGATGTGAATGGATATCAGATACTCCAGGGACACGAATAGGATAACCTAGGGATGTACCGGGCGGGATGTCCACTGGACAACCACTGCAGGACATCCCCTGGATGTCCCAATCATGTCCTTGTACCGCGGGACAAAAAAGGGACGTACCTAGGACATCCCTGTGTTGTTAGGGGATTAACCTACAGATGTCATGATGCTTTAATTTCGCTCTTGACATTGTTCCAAATCTTTAGGACTGTTGTTGAATAGTCAAATTCAAGTATTTACACACAGAAAAACACAAGATATAATGCCGCGGCTGGCGTAGGATTATGGGATTCCTTATTATAGTATGTCTTTCAGGGTATTTTTCAGAAACTACAATTCTCGATGGTAGATTGATATTATCAAAACCATAAACGTGTCCGCGATAATTCGCAAGTATATTCCTTATATTATCATGTTGATGATCGTTTTCAGCGTCCTGAAATTTTCACGAATGCTGCTTCGGTCATCATGTTTTGCACTGTGAAAGCTAGTGGAAAAATAGCAGCTAGTAAAATAAATACGATGACGAAACGCCTGATACAGCTTTCCAGAAACAAACTGAATCCGAGCACACAGATTTTCGCAATCAAAGTGAGTATTGTATTATTGAGATATATTTTTCTCCAAAAATCATATAAATTCCCAAACAATTTGATAAGATGGACGTTCCAGAGTCTCCAAACAGACTGATCATATTTCGAGTTGAGAGTGGGACAATTTTTTGGGACGATTTCTCATTCTGAGAAGAAGAGTTCATATTTGAATTGATACGTTCAATAAAGCATTTTTCTATATTCTGACCTGCTCATCAAGATTATCGTATGTAATACAACAAGCGAGACAACAAGTGTATTGATGATTATCGAAATACAAATCCCTTCGATGCGCTCGTCTGGTTGCCTAAAAGCAACATAATTTATTTTCGAAAAAGAGTAGGGATTTTCGATAATCATCAATGAAACGAGTTGTATTTGTTAAGATTATTTCACTCATTATTTCATCATTAATAAACCAATAATTTCATATCATATTTTCATTTGCAGTCAGTTATTAGTTATTTTCGCGCGTCTCGCCTCGTCAGTGGTCGGAATGGCTTGCAATATTTGATGCGTTCAGTCTCTAGACGCTAGTGTCAACTACTCAACTGTGAAGTTGTGAAAGGTTAGGTTGATATATCTGTTTGAAATGCCGATCATACTGAAATTATTCTTCGATACAAATTAAAATTCAGAGCCTATCACCATTTTGTATGAAGCTTGATGTTGAGTGCTATTTATACCTGAATGTGAAAATATTTTTACATCCATGTCCATGACAGCCTGCTGCTCCATGTAGAAGTCATTTTATTTTTTATTTGATCAAACAACCAATGAGGAAGCGAAATACAAAATCGAAAACACATCCATGTAGGTATATCCAGTAGCCAACCAATCAAAAGAATGTGTATTTTGAAATGAGTGGAATAATCGAAACAATCTTTCAACAGTATGTTTCAACACCGTACCTTTGTGTAAAACAAAGTAACAAAGTGTATCCACTCTTGAGGTCACCATGTGAAAATCTTATGAAATCTAACTTCGTCAAGGTCAGCCCAGATAGCACAAGTACATGTCATGGATATACTATGGATATCCATCATGAATATTGTGGATGTCCATAAGATATCAACTATGGATATGGATAAGAGTTACTGAGTTAGTATAACCTGTATATAGAAAAATCACAAAAATTTGATAAGCACTCACGTCTCACTGCGTTCGAATAATGTAGTTGTCAGTTCTTATGCATCATCAATTTTGGACGAATTCGTAGGAATCATTTCCAAATTCACTTGAAATTAATTAAATATAAGAACAGATTGACATTATTTGACTATTCCAAGGTTGGTACAATTGATGATCGATAAATAATCATCAGTTCTACCAATCTTGGACTATTTGAGACGTTACGCCACCTCGCGCTGTTTGTGAAAACCGAATTAATAATAATACCAGATAGTGCATCACAATATGTGCTAGGTATCTTTTGAAAGACCCACGCACAAGTGTTACTTTTGTCACAGATTGGGTTAATCTGTGCTTTTGTCACAGATTAACCCAACTAGAGGGTTAATCTGTGCTTTTGTCTCGACTTTTGTGGATCTCCTTTTATTTATTTATCATTTCATTCATTGTATATACACTCGATTTAGAATTTCTAGGAATTGATCTTTTGTCTCTGTATCTTATGGATATCCTATGGACGTATTCAGGACGTTCGTTTCGGATATCTCAAGTACATCCACAATCGGATATCCTATGGAAATACATTTTATGTCGACGGATATCCCGCCTTGAATAGAACTCGTAATGGATATCCATAAGATATCCTGTGTTACTGGGTCACCAATACGCAATACGCCTCTAAAGGTCATTGAATCTGACAGTGGGAAGATAGTTAGAATCGAGGTTAGAATCGACTTAGATCATATTGCAGTTTCTTGTGAAAAATCCTATCCACTGGCATGAATATTAGACATAGCAACTTCATTATTTTTCAGGCTCTGACCAACATTTGTGAACACCCTGAAGTGAGAAAAGAGGTACAGAAAAAATATATCGAATATGTCGAAAATATACAAGTTGGTGGAGATCCCTGTATACAAAATTACAAAGCACAATTGCTCACTGTTCTTGGATGGGTTGCATCGAGCTACACATGATTTCCATTTCCTTTTGTATCAATAAAAATTGTTTGTTCACTGATTTATCGGATTTCGTTTCTCAGCGAATAGTTTCTTCATATTTCATAACGTCAATAATTATTATAAAGTTTGGAGAATCTTGAAAAATACGCGAGATACTATTTTTTCTAGATATATGAAAAATAAAACAAAGAACCAAAGTTAGGTAAACATTTTGATTTTGTTGGGAAACCATGACTTGGCATTTAAGAACCTCAGACATCAGGCATTATATTATACTTTCATCCCAATGCTAAAAATGGTAATTTGTGTAAAAATGAGATAAGTTCATGCGTCAATTTGATTTGATAATACTATTTTTCATTTAGACACGCAACCAGTATTTTATAACATGCTTATAAACAAAGATGTCGCAATAAATCATTTCCGATTAGATTTTTTGCGTCAAGATGCTAATTGCGATATAAAATATTTTCCTCTTCCCATATTGTTTTGCTCTATGTAGTATCTAATCGAGGTTATTTTAAAAATTTAGGCTATCAATTTCAACTCGAACTCGATAAACATTGACAAGGATGTGCTATATTTTACGTTTTTAAGAATAAATCATCAGATGAGACTCAATGAAGCCCCCCTTCCATTGAGGGGTCATGGTTTATTTCGAACAATATGAGGCTACTTATTTCAATGTAGATTGTAGATGCACTTTCGTGGTATTTTGTGGGAAAATGTATTTGTAAAACAGGGATTTACGAAACTGTCGGGGTTATTTGAAATATTTGCCTGCCTCCCGAGCTGCCTCCTTCATAAAACGTGCATTTTTCAAAATTAAAGCCATGAATGATAGTCTTTCTGAATTTTTTTGAGAAAATTAATGTGAATAAAACAAGGCTATCTTATTCTTCGCGCATTATTATGTGAAATATATGTGATTTTTGTATTTAGACTTTTTATGGTCCTCAATCGAGCAAACATCAAAAAAATCATTTATTTCTGAATGTTTGACAATATTTTTTTTATCTCTTGAAGTGCACGATCAGAAATTCCTATAATGTTCGTAGCATTTCGCGCACTGAAAAGAAAAATAACTATCATAACAGACATATTCTTTCGCCAAATGTTCACATTTTATGTCTCGCCAATATTGGTATGAAAATATTCTACCAATATATTTTCAAGAGAAGAGAACATAATGATTTCCAATAATCCACCAACATTCCCAACTAATATTGCACCAATATTGTCAAATGTTCACTTTTTATCTCTCGCCAATATTGATTTCACATTTTGTGACCAATATGAATCGACAAATATTCAATCAATATTGGTGTGAAAATATTTTACCAATGTTTTCAAGACGACATTCCAACATGCTGATTTTCAATATTCAACCTACATTTTGAAACTAATATTGTACCAATATCGCCGAATGTTCACATTCTGTTTCTCGTCAATATTACGTTCACAATTTTTTGCCGATATTTCAGTGATATTGTACCAAGATTGCACCGGTATTATTGTCCCAATATATGTGTGCTATACCGGGTGGCTACGGAAGTATTGCCTACGGAATATCTCAGTTATTGTATGAAGTAGGTTTGTGAAATTTGAAGCGTCGATATAATGACATAAGAGCTTGAATTTGAGCATATTGACATGTCGAAGTTAACTTCAGGTCTGACCGGAAGTATTATCAACTTTCTTATTTTAAATGGAAACCCTTTTTTTTTTTTCGCTTTATTCAGCATTCAATTCCCTTTCTAATGACATATCACAAGTTGGTATCTAACCAGAAACTAGATCAGAAAAAAAATATTATTGAAATTCACCGAGTAGGCCGTGGAAGCAAAATGAAAGCCAAAAATTGAAAAATATCACCAGAGTCAATAAATGTATTGACGCTGAGGGAATGCATTTCGAACATTTGTTTTGAATTTATTTTATCTTTAATCCTATCAATTTGAATTTTCTTTTTCGATAAATCTGTTTTTTTGTTATTTGAAGAATAATAATTGGATTTTTTGGTATTTCATTTCAAAATATGACTTTCTATTATATCATTAGAAAGGAATGGTTATGCTGAATAGTACAGGCAAGTTATGGACCCATAGAGTATTGTTTTTTTCCCAATTTCTCCAATATTTTTTTCTGCGGCTTTTTATAACGCCGACGAATGAAAATAAAATATCACAGTAGTAGCAACTGTTATCAAGTGACGTATGGTTTCCATAGCCAACTTTTCAATTTTTGGCTTTTATTTTGCTTCCACGGCCTACTCATTGAATTTCAATAATTTTTTTTTCTGATCTAGTTTCTGGTTAGATACCAACTTGTGATATGTCATTAGAAAGGGAATTGAATGCTGAATAAAGCGCGAAAAGAAAAAAAGGGTTTCCATTTAAAATAAGAATATTGATAATACTTCCGGTCAGACCGGAAGTTAACTTCGACATGTCAATATGCTGAAATTCTAGCTCTTATGTCATTATATCGACGCTTCAAATTTCACAAACCTACTTCATACAATAACTGAGATATTCCGTAGGCAATACTTCCGTAGCCACCCGGTATATACTTGGGTCAGTGCTGACAAGCGTGTCCTCAGTCTTCAAAGTGCTTGAAATGATATGTTCGAAGCACACAGTTCAAATTGTCATCGTCACAGTTCAAAACCCAGGAACACACAGAAAAATGAAAGTCATATCTTTTGGTGATTTCATTTCTACGTCCATATACCTATAATATTAGCTGGTTGACAAATTCTTCGTTCCATCAGTTTCGTCAAAACAATACAATACTTATTATGTAGATATTCATTAGGAAAAAATAATTTCCATGAAACGCAATCGAATATAATTTTGTTTACAACTTCAATAATTCACAAAGTTGATCATGTGTATTAAAATAATCGATTAATAATCTCTTCTGTCGTTGATCCATGATGGTGACGTTGATGATAAGCTTGACCCCCCCCCCCATTTCACTTGTTTTTTTTTTGGAATTATTGTTATTTTATTCGAATAAAATGTGTCCTATCCGCATTCATTATAGTCCCATGTTTATAGTATAACAATTGTGAAAATAAGATAATTCAGGATTCAAAATGTTTTATATCTGTTCTATTTAATATATGATTATCGGTGTGTTTGAAAATGGCCTAGTTGATAAGTTATTTTCAGTGGCGCAGCGACCGTGAATAAATCAGAATTTTACTTCAAAAATTACTATCATTCCATGCTCGTTGAACAATACAGGGTTTTTCATGACGAGCGGTAAGGTACTGATAAATTGTACTCGAGTACCGGGTACCGGGTACTGTTTATAATTGAAGAACGAGTACAGAGTACCGAGTACAAGTACCCGAATTTCACGGGTACTCATTTCAAGTACATTTGAATAGAGAATTGAGAAATTTTGCATCAGTATTAGTAACCATATTTATTAAACAAAACAACTTAGCTTGCAATACTATACCCTTACCTCTTAGTTTAGTGTGGTTTAGTCTTAAGAAAACAACAGAAACGATACAAAAAACACTTGACTCTATAACTGTTACACAGTGTACAAAACAAAAACTCCGCGTTTGGTTCTGATTGAAGTGCTGACTGATAATGATGATATAACACTCGATATAACATATAACAGCGGTTTCCCGTGTTGCACTAGCATATGCAGAGACAAGTTTATTCCGAGGTTTATTCTTGCAAAAAGTACCCGGAAAATGTACTCGTTTATATAATAAACGCGGGTACCGGGTACTTTTCCCGAAATGCTACGGGTACGAGTACCGGGTACTTTATTGAAAATGTACTCGGGTACTGGGTACTGAGTACACAAAATGTACTCAGAGTACAATATTTGAGTACTTTTACTCGAGTACTGCCCAGCTCTGGCGGTAATTTTATGTTTCTGGCGAACCAAGCAACATATGATCTGAAAATTTGATAGTATGAATTGACATGATCTACATGTCTGAAATATTTCACACGTAGCGGCGTTGCTCCTTTTAGTAGAAAGTAGCAGCAACTCTGATTTTTCAAATGGAACAACCTGTATTTCAATGCATTTTTATAGTCTCCCCAAAGAGCTGATTTCATCAATGCATCACACTTGAGGTCTTGCGGGGATGATTACAGCGTTCAAGTTCAAAATCGAGATTTTTAAACGATAGTAATTTTTGTGTCGAAACTACACATTAGTATTGGTCGAAACGGCTCACATGTCCCTATCTTGATTTTTGATTTACTATTTACTGACATTCAATTGGAACAGATAAAGCGTGATCAGAATTCTGAATCATGAACCATCCTGTATTTGTTCCAATTGAATGAATGTCAGTAGATAGTAAATCAAAAGGTATATTGCTAGGCAACATATTGAGTTCCTAGAAGATAAAGATGAACTTTAGTTTCTAGGAGCTAGAGTTGAACTTTAGCTCCTAGGAACTAAAAAGGATGTACTATATACGTCATCAAGAATAAACAACATTGTTACGGTTGGTTATTTGGGTTGGGACGCATACCTGATTTATTTCCGATTTCGGCAGATTTGGCATTTCATAACCATGCTGAAGATATAAATACACCTCGAAATACACCTTATTATAGTTAAGTATAGGAATTATGAACATCTCGGTTAAGTATTTTTGTTTTGATCAGGGAAGCCTTCAAGATTCACATACTTGCTTGATCTGTATTTCATTCGTTATTCTCGAGATTGATAACTTGATAAGCAATAGCTTTTTGTCTCAAACAACGATATTGTTCACCTCCATTTGATTATCAAGTCAAACACAGTGTAGTATGGAGAGAAATAAATAATCGCTATTATTTTTGTTGATATGCTCACTAACCTAACATTTTCCACGTCTTGTTCCTATACCTGGCACTGGCGCGTTATTTGTCATTAGAGCACCTGGTCCATACACGAATATGTCACTCTGTGGTTGTATTTATATTGAAACTACAATCCTCACATCCTTGAAAATTGAATAAACCTGCTGTTAATGCAGGAAGAAT